ATCAGGATCTTCAACTGTGATGAAACTGGCCTAACTATAGTCCAACACAAACATATTAAAGTTGTGGGAAGAGAAGGAAAAAAACCAATTGATCCGAGCACGGATCTTTGTTGACCAGAGTTATGTGTTTCAGTGCAACAGGCCAATATATACCGCCCCTTTTAATTTTTTCACGTAAGAATATGAAAATAGAGCTTATAATATCAGCTCACAATATGCGTGTCACATATCTGGTTGGATCCAACAAGATATATTTCTACAACGGCTTCGCCATTTTATTAATATAACCAAGCCCAGCGTTGACGATCCAGTGGTGTTAATCCTGGATGGTCATTACTCTCATACGAAAAATTTGGAAGTCATAACTGTGACGCGAGAAAACCATGTTAACATAATATGCCTTCCACCCCATTGGACTCATCGGATGTAACCTTTGAACGTAGCTTTTATGTCACCATTGAAAACCTTCTACGCGCAAGAGATGACAAACTGACTTAGGCTTAACCCAGGACGTGTTGTATCAGGCTATCAGATGGAATTACAGAAGAAAGAGTAGAAATAGAAACTATGGATGAAGAAAGAGTAGAGGAAGACACAGTAGAGGAAGAACAATCAGATAACAACGAGCCAAATGAAAAAATCCCTGAAAGACAAGTTACCCCTTCAAGACAGCAAACGGCTGAGAGACAGGTTACCCCTGAAAAACAGATTACCCCTGCCATTTTGATGCCTGTTCCAACTGCTTCAGAACTTATTATTAAAAAAAAGAGTACAAAATGTGGAAGAGCTGCCGTTATTACTAGCACTCCATACAAAGAGGAATTAGAGGCCAACATAGAAAAAAGGAATTCACCTTCAAATTCGGGCGTCAAGAGAAAGATTAAGGATTCGAAACAAAGACAGCAGAAAAAATTAAATATACCCAAAAGAAAAAGAAACAGTCAGTTGCTATAGAAAAAGCAAACAAACGCAAGTTGATATCCTGGAGTTCTTCTTCAGATTCGGCCCCTGTACCCGAGTATCAAGATTCAGATGACCAACAGGTAGAAAACTTTGAAGAAGATGCTATTTGTATTTTTTGCGAAAATCCGTACTCCGAAGAAGTCAGAGGCGAAGAGTGGGTAATGTGTCAAAGCCGCTTCAAATGGGCTCATGTTGAATGTGCTAATTGTGGAAGAAATCCGTATATTTGTGACTTTTGCATTTCTGAATAATTTGTTGTATGTTCTTTCTAGATGAGAATTTTTTATGGTCATAAAGCACGAAACTTTTCATTAAATATACTTTTTGCATTTCCATAAATGAATATTTCTCAAAAAAAAACAAAATAATTTTACTCATTTTATTTTTCAAATTCTGCATATTTTCTTCTGCTTCTGCCAAAAACACGTTTCTTCCTATCAAATGTTTGATAGTATAACCAGCGAAACATAAAATATGGAAATAATGCTTAAAACTACCTCCGTTTTTTTATTATGGTGTTTTGAAAAAAACTACCCCATATTAGAAGACTTTCCTCTAGATAACTTTTTGAACTTGAATTCCCAGCTTTTTTTTGATGTGGTAGTTTATTGATATAACAGTTGTACAAATTTCATTTTTAATCACTAATCAACTTATGAAATGATGTATGCAAACACTTATAAAAGTAATCAATTCCATTTCGATTATGGTATTTGCCATCTTTTGCTAATATCATTTGGCACAAACGGGTCATAAATCAACATTTTGACACATCTTTCATTCATCAGTATGTGCAAACATGTGCCAATAGAAATGTAAATAAAGCGAACGAAGCCAATCTCCGATAAATGATAGCATTAATCTGTCGATTAACGTTGCGGTTTTTGCACAATGTTTATATGCCATATTAAATTCATCTCCCGGAAAATTGCCAGTATTATGGCTGTTTGTGAATCAACCATCGAGAAGCCGCTGTTTCAACAAAAAACAAAATAATTGAATACACACAGGGTGATTCAAAAGTACTTTGACAAACTTCAGGAGGTGATTCCTCACAATATTCTAATATGAATTGTCCAAATGAATAAATGTCCGGAAACGCTTCGTTTCCAAGATACAGGATGTTGAAGTTTTATTTTCATTTTCCTTTTTTTCAAATAACTTTTGAAATACTGAACTTAATTAAACGAAACTTGAAAAAAAATCGATTCCTCTATCATATCTACGTAAATAAGCTACCCTTGTTACTAGCCGCTGTAAGCAACCGTTTTCTAAATATTTGGACTTGAAAACTTCAAGTCGATTATTTGATAATCGATGCATGTTGAAGTTATTACGAATATTTTGTTTTTGTGACGAATGTACATGTTTTGCAAACGGCAATGTTCATAGACAAAATTGCAGTTATTGGAGTGACACCAACCCACACTTTTTCCGGGAAACACATACCCAATATCCAGAAAAAATTAACGTTTGGGCAGGAATATTGGGAAACGATATTGTAGGACCTTTATTTATTGATCAAAATTCAACAGGGGAACTGTATTTCAATATGCTGGAAACTACTGTTAACAGTCTCATCACTGAAATCATCAAAGCGAGGTCCTACAGAATGACCAGCCTGCTCGCCAAATTTGACACCTTTGTATTTTTTAGCGCTGTTTGAAGCAAAAGGTGTACGAAACTGAACCTGATTCAATTCTGGATATGCGGCAGAGAATAATGAATATTTGTAGTTTGTTCCTAAAACATAGATTGAAAAACACAGAGCATGGGCCGCATTACGCATCAATTAAATTCTACAACCATTTACCCTTGATTATCAAAGAAGATCGGACAAAACAAATTTTTAAAAAACGTGTTTTCGATCTGTTGTGTGACATTGAGCCATATTCATTACAAGAATTCATGGACAAATAACCATTTTCAGTCTGTATCAAATTTAAGCTTCCTGGTAACTTCAATATTACATTCTACTCATCAATCTTTATCTGTGATATTTACTTATTTGTTTCTGTCATTTTCATTTTAGAATTCAGAACCTGAAGTTGTTAAAAAGTTTTGAGGTGTCACCTGCCTCCCCCAAATTACGCCTATGAATATCAGCGATAGTCAGACGCAAATTATTCATCCCGTATCCATGGACAGAACTGTGGAGCCGGAGCCGGAGTTAAATTACACGTTTAAACGATAAATCCCGATGTAATAGGGCCCTTCAGGTTAATTTGTTAATGATAACTGCACCTGAGTTCAGAGGGGAAGCCCCACACTACCACGCGAAGTCGAATGAAAATATCTCGGTAGATTTGGATTTCACTCATGCGAATAGTTTTTTTTTCGCGGGAATTCGCCGTGTGTTCGTTCTCCTGGATGTGATTTCCTGGAATGAAAGAATTTTCCCGTCTCCCGTCTAATTTCACGGACGGATGAGAAGCGGGAATTGCAAATTGAAACTAATTGGTGACGCATATACGGTAAGAAGTTACAAAAAGGTAGCGGGTGGAGAAGGCATACCTATAAAAATCTCGTGGAAAAGGAGGTGTTGTTTTCTCTCATGAATTATGCAACAAGCTGCAGATTTTTGTTCAGTTGAAGTTGTAACGGGGATACATTTCGGTCTGATTATCTCTCGTGGAGGAGGCAGTGCTAAACAAACCTAAGCATAAATTAAAACGGGTATATTTTTAGAAAGGATTAATCTTTGGGAAATATTTTTTGCTTTTCTACTTCTCCATCTTCATACAAAAAATGTGGGAATCCTCCAAAGAAACGAATTCAATACAATTTTCCTAAAATCGTTGTATAAGAGAGACAATTGTATGTTCTGGTAGTGTATGTTCTGGAGTCATTTGTTTCATGTTTGCAGATAATCTTACTGTAATCTTTCATTTAGAAGGTCGATTTTGTACCACGTCGTCGTTAGCAGTTTATCTTCAATGTGTATACAATAGACAACACGTTGCTATTAGTTCCTATAAAGTTCGTGAGCTACCACACAGATGACGCTACTAGTATTGAATCCATACTATTTTTAGTTAACCCTAACCTTAAAAAGACACGTGTGCAAATTTCACAACTGTAGGACTATTAATTTGTGAGATAGACAATTTTGAGTGAATTGAGTGATAATCAGTACATATTCCATTTTGAATCGTGAACAGTTGCGCCATCTTTGTACTGAAGAAAGATACTTTGAAAGTTCATCAGGAATATTGATCCTCTTGCAGCATTTTACTCCCAAACTATATTATGAGAAGGTGTTTGTTATTGACAGTGACAGAGTTTGTAAAATCCCTCGTAGAGGTCTTGAAATTATTTCTCAATTTCTATTTATAGCTTTCTGAATGTTCAACAAAAACTCTTAATCAATAGTATCTTTGTTACATAGTTTTCTCGCGATCTGCTGATTCTTCCTTATTCCTACTATTTACTTTCTCATCCAATCCAAACCTGAAAACCAGCCGCGAAAGTAGAAATTAATAAAGCATTATCCAAACACTCAAGGGAAGTCAGTTTTAGGGCTATATATAGAAGAAACCGAAAAGTAGTCTTGTGATAATAAAGAAAAAAATTCCAATTCGAGGGAAACAAACTTATGTTGTCCAACAAATTTGTACAGTATCATTTTGAAGATTCGCTGCAAATGATGAGGGTTAGACAGCTGATTACAGTTCATTTATTTTTTCAATGGAAACACAAGCGATATCTGACAGAAAATGATTCTTTATTTCTCAGACATTACCAGATATCCTACGAATAAGAATTCAAATTGGAACATCCTTGGACTTCAAATGGATATTCACAGTTAACTTGGAATGGTTTTTATTGGTGGATATGCTTTATACATCCTTGAGATACCAAAAAATGTATGATGTATGGTCATCCAAGATGGTGGCCCGCGGACAATCATAAGATATATTTTGGACATGAATTGGATATCCAGTTGACATACATCTGATGATCAATTCAACGATTAAAACCGTTTTTATCAACTGGCTTCATCTTTTCAGCCAGAAATGAAGATTAAAACAAATCGATATAGTTAAAAAATATATATTACTTGACATAAAATTTTCAAGGCAACATTATATGTTGTAGATAATCAAATCAATAAGATATAACATTTCAACAAATAACTCAACAACACCTACTTCTTGGAGTGGCCCAAAGACTCCCCTCTTACCGAGGACAGATCCGAGTCAGCTGAAAACACCACTTTAGACTTACTCGTGCTCTTGCTAGTCATCAGAGGCGTGGAAGTTCTCTGCTTTTCCTTCTCTGTGCTAGAATTAGCTGCTTGAATGGCAGATATATCAGAAAACTCCCCTAACAAACTACCAGGACTGGCGTCGGTCTTCATGGTACTGGAAGAGACTTTGCTCATCATCTGCTTCCTCATGAACTCCTTCAGGCTCACCTCGCTGACGCTGCTGTCGTTAGAAAGGCCTCTCTTCTTCGAAGTCAAGTCCAGAGAACTCGAGCTGGAAGTCATAGCAAGGGCCTCTTGAGTTTTGTGCAGAGTGGGGATTGCCCACTCCATTCCGATACTCTTCAACATAGCTTCAATGTTCTCAATGTCGTCGCTGGAAGAACTACTGCTCTTCTTCATTGACTTCTTTGCGCAAGAGGAGTCGTCACAGTAGTTGATCGACTGAGTAGCTGTTGTATTTGTGGAAGAGGCTTTGCTGATGTCAACTGCTTCTGAGGAGGTAGACCGTTCTTGGTGTGTTGGGCTTTTGTTCCTCCTCTTTGGTGAAGGCTGCGTTTTCTTAGGCGACATCCTAACCTCCTTCTTCTGAGCAGTGACCGCAATCTGGGGAACCTTCTCGACTTCTCTTTCGGAATCTGACCTGCTGTTGGGCAATTCGCTCCTTTCCGGAATCACGATGAGCTCAATGTCCTTCAGACCGATCACGTCTATCGATGTTTTAGAAGCGTTTGGACTAGGAACGTTGCTACCCATTTTTGTTGATAGCTGACTATCGGCTTCCACAATGGTGGACAGCTCGTGCGGAGTGAGAGAAATATTTCCGTTAAATTTCCTGACGATTGTCAGCCCCTTGGATGGGGGAGGTCGCTTGTGGGCTGTTTGGGTAGGTGGTGGTTGGATCTCGAATTTCGGCAGTTTCGGTATGTCTAGAAGGAATGGGACGAAAGGTTGGTTATTTATTTCTGGAGGGGTTGAAGTGGGGGGAGGATCTGTAGAGGTTTTTGTCTTTGGTGGCTCTTGTAACTGTTTGAGTCTCATAAGTAGTTCCTCATTGGTGGTGTTTAAACTGGAAGAGTGATTCTTATTACCTGTAACCGTAAAGAAAAACAATTTGTCACAAGAGAGGCTTCGGACATGCAATTTAACAATATTAAGAGTAAGGCTCTGTATCAAGATGGACAGATGTAGAAAGGGTTGATATAAGCTCGTCTAAACAGACCAAATAACGTTCACCAAGATGATGAAGATAGAGAATAGATAAGTGTATAGTACCAGAGTAAGTGGTCTATTCGACCTTCGCAATACGCGAGGGTTCACAACTATTCCAACTCGTTCAAATGAATCCAGCTTCTTAACGAAGCTGATTGCACACGATAAAAATTCCGAAGTGTAAAGCGGCGCTCACCTCCCCTGTTGAATGTCGTAAAAAAATTAAGAAGATATTAAAATTAGAAACTCACCATAATCGCTAGTTTCTTTGCCAACACCTCCCCGATCGGTGGCAGTTTTCTCACCAACGACTAACTGCCTCAACTTATTGGCCAAGCTCTGATCGATATCCACAAGCCTCCTATACAAATCCTCTTCATCGACACTATTCCCGGAATTCTTACTGCTCTCCTTGGAATCCGGCAAATCCATATATGCAGTAGAAAAGTCCTTATCGCTCAGTACAGGGCTTCCGGGTTTGGAAGTCATACTTTCTGGTAGAACATGAAGCATCTGGATCTTCTCATCTCGGAGCTTCTGTATCATGTCCGCCAAAGTTTGTATTCTTTTGCTGCAAGAGTCCGTGATATCAGCAAACTGAGCCGTGACAGACTCCGCGGACTTGGAAGTTGTTCCGTCTTTTTCTGGAATCATTATCTTTGGATCGACCATGGAACCGGAATCCACTTTTCGTAAAAAATCCGATTCGGTTGTACTTGCGCTGGTGTTGTAGGGAACTGGGCTGATATCTGTTGAGTAGCTGAGCTCCTCGGCAACGTCAGGAACTTTCAAGAGGAAGTCTTTCAACATGTCGATGATATTACCTTTCGGGTTGTTGCTCTCCATTTCGATGATGCTCTGAGACGGTGTTTGAACATTACTGGAAGACACATTCAAGTTTTCCACGCTACCTCTAGCCATGCGCAGTAATTGCTGGATCTGATCAAAGAGTTTCGAATTTATATGTCTCTCTTGCGAAGAACCTCCAGATTGGAAGGTACTGAAAGCATCGGACAACTCCTTCTGCTGTGGTTTTTTCCTTAAGTTATATAACGAGGACTTTTGGGAACCTCTAGTTTTCCCCAAATCAGGTGGACTCATATACGAAGTACTAGTAGTGGATATAGAGTTTTTGCTAAGCTGCTCCTTCCAAGTTCTTGGTTTAGGCTTGGTTCCGCTTGATTGAGGTACACTCTTGCTTGGTCTACTCCCAACCGGCGATGGTTTCTTAGATACTTGCGGAGATTCTTCAGTTCCGATACCAACAGACTTGGACTGAACCAGTTTGGGTTGAGTTTCTTTAGTTTTAACGACAATGTCTGGAGTCTCGTCATCATTCAACCTTATAAAGATTTGACACAACTCTTCCTGGGACTGTTTCTCATTTTCTTTGTTGCAATCGCAAGCGGCGTGAATTTTGGAACAAACCTCCCCAGAAACTTTTGCGTCAGCTTCCTCTAGCTTCCTCTCAACTTTGGGAGTAGTTTGAGTGCTGATATTCTGAAGTACGAGCACTTTCCTGCTACCCTTCACCTTGGGTTTTTTCCGGGAAGATCTCTCAGCATGCCGATACTTTCTGTCATGTTCCCGCTCGCTCTGTTCTTGACTACTCTCGGCCGACGTGTCCTTATCTTTCTTATCTCTGGAGCGCTTTCTTTCTCGTTTCCGAACTGTCGGAGCAACTTTGTCGTCGCTGTCGCTGAACGATTTCAAGTCGTTGATCAACTCGTCCAGGCTCTCGTCCCTCGGTAAAGACCTAAGTTCTTGCAGAAGTTCCTCTTTCTGTAACTTGAGGCTCCTCAAAAGTTCCTTTAACTTACTGCGCCGATAATTCGTCTCGTGTCCCGTAAAAGCCTTAACAATCTCCTGGACTTCCTGAGCGGTGAATATTTTAGGTTCCTCGAAATCGACGTCCCATTTGCCAACATTTATGGAACGCACTTCCTCTTCTTCAGGAATAACACTTTCTTTCGAAGGCACTTTTTTGGGAAGAGTAACCAAGGCAGGTTTAAGATCGGGAAACATTTTGTTGAAAGCGTTTTCCAACTGGTTCTGTTTCACCCTTTCTCTCTCTTTGAGGCGTTCCTCTGACATGTGATACTCGGGTTTGTCGTTGAAGATCTCGTTGATACGTTCCTTCTTCTGTAAGAGCGGTAACTTCCTCATCAATTCCTCGTAGTCCTTACGCACCTTCTCCTTGTTCAACGCTATCCTTCCTCGTATTTGAGCTTCTCTGTCCCTCTGCTTGATTTTTTCCAACCACTCTCTTTCCGACACAACATCAGGAATGACTTCCACGCTCTCGGTAGGGATTCTTTCCACATATGAAGGCAACCTTTTCGTGTGCGAAAATCGGTTTGGATGATCGTAAAATTGCACCTCGTCCGTGCCCTTAGAGACTTGACTATCGCTTTGATTAGTCGAGGGTTTGAGTTGTATTGACGGCTTGGAGGGAATGTCCTTGAACTGGTGGTCAATTTGAACCATAGATGGATCTGATGGTATGTTGCTTAGTTGTGAAGAGTGTCCCTTAGAACCAGCTGTAGACTTGATCCTTACTGATGGCTTTGACGGAATATCCTGGATTCTAGCCATACTTGGTCGATTACCAACAGCAGGATCTAATGGAGTATCATTGATTTGTGTCGAATAACCATTTTGAACAGCTGAAGACCTAACATTGTCTGGTGGTTTTGATGGAACCTCTTGAGGCTTCGAGGGCACAGCCTTCAGCTTGACAGACGGTTTTGATGGAGTATCTTTGTACTCTAGGGGGTTTTCCGTAACAGAACTTCTGATATAACCAACCGTAGCGTCTTGTTCTTGTATTCTCCCGCACCTATGGTGACAGGTTTTTTGATTCGCCCCACATGTACACCTGATATCTGGAGAAACATCCAATCGTTCGTCGACCTCCAGTCTTTCGTCTGGTCTTCTTTCAGTCGGCCTGGAACAAGGTCTTCCAAATAGTCTGGAATCTATTGCTTCGCGAATTTTCGTGTTACTTTCGATGTACGGTATTGGGTGGGTTTCTGCAATTCTCATGCAATAGTCAGTGTGTGGTGCCATGATTTCCCTACGTTTGATTCTATCAGAGATTCTAGTATCGCGAGGAGGTTCGACAGGTGTTGACTTTACTGGCGGGGGAGATTTGTGGCGAGATTGGTATGCTTTTTCCTGATCTGTCAACTTTTGATCGGAACTACTCGTGAAGTCGTTTTCGGGGAGTGTTGTCAGCCCCAGAGGAGGTATTTGCCAGTTTTTCGGGGGGTTTCTCTGATGTCCAATGAAAGCTGTAAAAAGAGAAGAGTCGTCCTGGAAACTGTGAATTTAAATTTCAAGTTTGGCATCAATTTCAAGAGGCGTTACTTTCAGTAGATGAAAATGTTCACACTGGAACACTTGATTGTGTTTTTGATAACATATGCGACTTACCTCTTGATAATCAGTGAAAAAAGGAAACATTATTCACAAAGTTGGAATAACTTAAATAAATAAAATCGACTGGAATACAACTTATATATTTATGATTTCTCTTAGAAGCTTTAGTTCCATCATTATCAAATACATCAAAAACAACTTAGTTATCGAATAAATATCTACTGTACTGTTGTTATATTGATTAATACACGAAGAATGGTTTTCAAAAAAAGCCTGGCAAAACTGAGTTGTTCATATAAATGTTATGCATATTTTTTAAACAATGTGAACAGCAAACAATCTGATATATAATTTCATCCTCGCTTCAAAAGGTATTTGAGTTCAATTAAAAAAAATATGAATTCGAAAGATAAAAATCAAATTCGGAGCTGTTTCTGAGGACTGGCAAAGATTGGCCTTTTTACACATTAATTGACTGGACTATAAGTTTCAACTGATAAAAATACTAGATGGTTCAACACGTATATTTCAAAAAGGCTCAAAATTACTAAAATAGTGCCCTATAAATTCCCAGCTTACCTTTCCTTAGATTGAAATTCCCATACCGATTGTAATCCTACATTTCAACTTGATCAACCTAACCTTTTCGTGTCTAATTTTACCACCACTTTCCTTTGTTCTTTTCTTTTCCTTAAAAATGGGGAATCATCGTGTCAAAAAAATTCACACTCTGAGACATTTCAGAATTTTCATGTCTCTAGATTATTACACCGCTTGGACTAAGTGTTTACATGACTCAATGAATCTGGTTTTATATCACCAATCTGTTCTTCAAAAGGTTTAGCAATAATAAGCCGATTTTATAGCTGTGTGAATGTGGTTCAAAGTTTAACAACATTATTGCAGAACTGTTAACAAAGGCTTGACGATTTAATTGAAATTGACCCAAAAGCATAAAATGGCTTCTTTTCAGTGAGTCTTAACCGAGGAATCGATTCTTCATTGAAATGTAAGGTTGTTGAGATCACTAACCAATACACACATACATGTGTATCTTTTGTTGCTTCCACTAACACGAAAAAATATGTATTACCTACCTGAATCTTTTTCAACTGGCACAACTGGAGATTTATAAGAAGAGCACGATTCATTTGTACAGTCACATGGACTGGAAGATTCAATTTTTCTGCACTCTTCAGAATCATATTCACTTGGCGATGAAGATGAGAACTGGTCGGAGTCTAAATCGGGTATAGTTATGTTTATATCAGCTGACGTTTTGCGTTTTTTCTTCTTGACCTTCGGTTCTCCGATACTCATTTTAGGTTTTGGAAATTTGGTAACCATCGCCGACCTGGTTTTTTCTATTTCCCTAACGAGTTTTTTACGTTCCAAAGGTACGTTTTTCCTAGCAGCATCCTCACTTTTCTCTAACTGCTGTTTCGTTGCAGCCTCTTTCCCACGCTGGTTTGAAATTTGTTGATTAATTTCTCGTTGTGCAATTATATTCTCACTTTCGTCTTGCAATTCATCAGCTTGTCGATGTCCGGTTCCGATATCTTTCAACGTACTCTCATACTGAGTTTGCAATTCTAACAGTTTTCGGTTTTGCCAGTTTCTGAGTTTCTCCTTGCCTTCCTTTTCGATCTGTCTCATCTGTCTCTCCTTCTCTTTGCGAACTCTGTTCCGCACTTTTTCGGCAATTTCTTTGGATTGCTCTCTCACCTGTTGTAATCTAATCAGTCGACGTTTTTCAAATTCTTTTTTAGCATAATTAGGATCTAAGGTTACCATTTTTCCTCTTTTGATACTAATAGGGTTGCCGGATACATGAACGTTGATAGACATGATTTGAAGCTGTTCGCTACAAGGTTAGTGAAATATACATGATACGTTTGCTAAAAGAATTTGAAAATAACCTTCTAACTCTAACCTTTTTTCGGAAAACCGTTGACAGTTCTTTAAATGTGTGACAGTTTTTTAAATTCTGACAACAATGTCTAGGAACAAACATCAATTTTGGGTCATTAGGCTTATTCGCTTATTGACAGCTGTCAACGATAGTCGGTTTCTTCGGGTAATTTTCTGAATCTATCAACTTTAAAAAAATCACGTATAGATATCTGCTTTCTAGAAACGACATTTGCTTTTGTTTGCATTCTTCTGGATTTCATCCTGGATTTTTTCATAATAGGTACCTTAAGTATGGGAAAGAAAGGTTTTGGCTTTCTACTTCTCCATCTTCATACAAAAAATGTGGAAATCGTCCAAAAAAAGGAAGGCGGCAATTAATTTTTACCTGAAGTATCATTTATTTATTCAAAAAGTTTATCTTGTATGAACCATCTTCATGACATAAGAGAGTTCTGTTACTACATATTTTCTCAGCCATTATGTGATACTTCTAATATTCATCCCAATATTTTGAAGTCTGTCAAACTTTATTCATTTATTGTTATGCAGTAGTCATCATCTGTTTCTTCCGCTATTCCGAAAACTTTGAAGCCACATCCTATTACAGTCACTTCAACAGTTTTGTTCGATATACCTACTGATTAGTACAACAGGATTTTTGTTGGGAGTAGTCAATTTTACCTGTAGAAAAATGTCGAAAATTATTACAGTGAGGATAGATGATTTACTAGAGGGAATACAAGTCCTATTCCTTCACGATACACTTATGAGTGTATCGTGTATTCCTTCATGTTTTCATTCTGTACGTCAGCGCCCTCACCGACCATTTTTCTGTCTCTATGGAAATTGCTTTGTGAATTTTTGACATTTATCCCAGCTGTTCTAGTGACATGGAACACTCATAAGTAAAAAGTACTTTCTGATTGTGTACCTGCCTTTTGTGACAGCTATCTGTCAGGGAAGTTTATATTTTCCATTGTACCTTTAAACCAACTTTCTATTCAGAAAAAGTGGAATAAATCGACTTTTCTGAGTTATAATATGCAGAATTGATTAATAACTTTTTTCATAACGAAATGGAGTGTCCTGCTACTTATCTGTAGATTAAAAATAATTAAAATGTTGGATTCTTCTCCAGAAGATGAGGACTTTCCAGGTCGACTCCTACACCAGGTATCTATTGAATGAACAAAAATTCTAGCCAATTAATAGCATCCCACTCATTCGTTAATCTTCAATCTTTCATTCTTAACTCACACAATTATTATTAATCAACCAATAAATTTACACTGTTTGCTTTTGTCTGTAGGCTGCTCTGTGGGATAACACTGAATTGTTGGAGGACCTCCTGGCTGGGGGTCAACAGGATTTCATAAATTCCCAAGACAGCTGGGGCCGAACACCACTCCATGCAGCGGCTATATCAGAAAAATCCAAATGCATGGAGATTTTGTTAATTTCTGGTGCTGATCCGAACATACAATGTGGACCAAGAGGAGAAAGAAAGGTATCCTTTGTCCTAACTAATACAAAGTACTAAAAATTTACTATTTCTGGCATTTATGGGTTTTCACTTTGGCTTTTCAGGGGCCGCTTCATTTAGCTGCCGAACATGGCCACTGCCACAATCTGTCTATTTTGTTACAACATGGTGCAAATTTGTTATTGAGAGACCTGAACGGAATGACTCCTTCTGACTTAGCAGACAAGTGCGGGCACTCAAAATGTGTGCATATTCTCCGGGAAGCTGCTGGTAGGTTCAGATTTTACTTCATGCTATTTATTATTTCATTTGGGTCTTCACATTCATCTCATTCCATGTCCACAAAAGTTTACTTCATTTACTTCGTTGTTCAAAAGAGAATATAGAATTGTATAGGAATTGACAGTACCTATAATAAAAAAAGGGATAGCAACATATGAACTATTAAAAAATTATGGTGGTACTTTATAATAACAATTTTGTAAGGCATACGATTGTAGTATTTTTTTTAGTTATACTCAATTGCTCAGTTGTCAAAAATTTCTAGGCAAAACTCTGGTGCTGAATAAGTTACTTTGAGAATGGAGCAACTATCAGATGGAATAGTTTTTCTGTATTCTCGTAAGTTGGTGATGAATAAGTGAACTAAATTAACATAAAATTCGATTTCTTTTGTATAAATACACAAAAGTACAGTCTTCAAAATAGCATGCACAAAAATCCCATGAAGAAATATTCGTCACGCATTATACGATGCACTTTTCTGTGAAATATATGTTGCTGTTTTGTAAACTTATCCAAATGAATAAATTGAACTCCTATAAAAACTCAGGAACTGAATGTACACGAAATAATACTTGAATACACTCGAAAACATTGTCAAGAAAAAATTTAATTGTGTATCTATACTATCAAGCTAAAAAGTTGTACAAAAAAGAGTGATTACCAAATAATTGTTCATAATTATTCCAACTCATGTGGTTTTGTATGTATTATTGTCTGTATATTAGGGCGACCAGAAAGTAAATGAAGTGAGCCAAGAATGACAGCCTTCTGCATCTGTCCGGCTAAGATTTCTGCCTTAGTGCGGCAAGCCGGTATGATTTTAAGATTCGAGAGTAGAGAGGACATCATTCCACCAAGGACTCCAATAATCAGAACAACCATCTTGACAGAGTGATCTGGATAGAGTCTGCGGAGTTCGAAGAGAAAATCTCGATATTTTATCCGTTTTTCCTCCTCTTTTCGGACGATATTCTTCTCGCCAGGAGCTGAAAACTTCACGACAAATATTGTCTTGCTCTGGTGGTCGAGAAGGACTACATCAGGCTCATTAGCTTGTATGAACCTGAGGGTGGGAAACGAATGGTTCCAATAAATTCAGCACTTCTCGTTCCCCACAACAGATTCAATATCCCCCCGGAGCGTAGGGCAACACCGGTCTGGTGTCTCGTCAATACCGTAGGAGTGCCGTAGATGGACATGCTGATAGCAAGCGCATTAGGGTCTCGGGCACCTCGCGGCAGGCCGCGACTGCGGTAGACTAAGGTGTTGAAGACACCATCCTGGCAAGCCATGATGAACCCCCTCAGTTTCCGACTTCAACCCACTCGACCTGAGGAAAGCGAAAGTCAGGTGCTTTAATAAGCCAAGGTCTCCAATGATATTGAAGAAGACCCCATGCATTGGATTATCCTTGTGTTTCCGCGGCTTTAATATGAGCTTTATGCTGAACAGGTTCCAACTCGGAGACAGAGTTGTGGTAACCTCGTTCAGTGTCGAAAACTAAACCAAGTTCATCAGCTGCTCGGGCAGCTACCCTAAAGAGAAATGCCCCAATTCCTGCTCTCTTATGGTCACAGACCATGCAGAGAAGGGGATCCGAGCTCCCGACGACTTAACAGGCCATATCCAGTACCATTATGTCATGTAGACACTCCAAACTCAAAAGTCCATGGTTTTCCTGTTGTCGGGGGAAGTACAACCGTGGAACGGACGATTTGGGATGCAACCTCCTATAGAGATGCATCATTTTTCGGGTCTTTAAGTCGAGTTGATACAGCTCCTCCCGAGTCCACTTCACTACTCCAAACGAGTAGAGTAAGATTGGAACGGCAAGCATATTTGTTGCAGCAACTTTGTTCTTCCCCGACAGTTCCGATGACCAGATCTGTCGAAGTTTGTGCTGATACTTGCCGCGGAGAGAGTTCTTCACTGCTGTTACCCCTTGTGAGTGGCGTTGTTCCACCCCGAGGTAAGTATACGTCTCTCCGGCATCCAGATGGTGTAGGATGCTTCCATCTACGAGCTGCACATCCTCTCCGTAGTCCCCGCATCGTCCTTTTTTGAGATGGACCATTGCACATTTGTCTATTTCGAATTTCATACCGATAGCATGTGTGTACTCCTCCACCACCCTCAAGGACTGATGGAAATCCTTCTCTCCAGAGACATACATTTTAAGATCATCCATATGAAACAAATGGGTGACCTTGTGCCTCCGGTTTTCGGGGGTGCCACAGTTATACCCTCGAGTATTTCAGAGCGCAACGGATAATGGCAATAGTGAGATGTAAAAGAGAAGGGGACTGAGGAATCGCCCGGAAATACACCCCTTCTGAAAATGACCCACCCTGTTTGGTCTCTGTCTTGACCAGATGTTATGGTGAAGCGAATTCGCCAGAGTGGTATCAGTTGTCTAATGAATCTCACTATTTTGTCGGGTACCGCAAGGCATCTGAGCAATTGCAAGATGAGCTGATGCGATATTGTATCAAATGCCTTATATAATCGATCCAGGCCATAGAGAGTTTACGCTTATATTGCATCGAGTCCTGCGTTACACATCTATCGATGAGCAGGTTCTCTTTACATCCAACGACTCCACTCTTCGACCCCCTCTGCTCATATATCCGTTCGAACACTCGGTCAACTGCGGTGAGTATTCGTGTGTATAAGATGCTAGTAAACAACTTATAACACGAATTCAACCATGTTATCGGTTTGTAATTCTTAGGAAACGACAAATCTTCGCTTCCGGGGATGAGAACGGTCCGCCCCTCGACAAACCAATCCAGAATTGGCTGCTCTGCGTCCAGCCATAAGTTGAAAACTCTGGCCAGATGGCGGTGGGTGCTTGTTAGTTTTATCCACCAATAAGTGTTCAGCCCATCTGGGCCAGGAGCAGCAAAGTTCTTGGAACCCACAAGGGTTCCTCGAACGTCGTCAAGGGTTATCGGGTTGCGCAGTTCATTGAGCTCAGGCTGTTGAAGCTCTCTGTTGAAAGCTTTGAACTGCACTAGGGCTGGAGTGTCTAAGTTGAGAGGCTGCGGGTGTTCATAGATATCCTTCGAGAAGGATTCCACCTGATCAGCGTTCGGCGGATAATCCACAACACGTGGAGGCTTTTGGAATAAGCGAGAAGGTTTCTCGCGTAATCGAAGGTTTTACGCTATACTCCTCGCTCGCCTCACTAGCGACTTCTTAGCAGCCACTAGCATTCGTATCCTATCAAGGCTGTGCTGTTTGGTGGTCAGCAGCACGCCTTGACTTGAAGTGTGATGGATACGTCGTAGTTTGGCGGCTATTCGCCGCACTGCCGGCGTGAAAGGCCTGTTGGCTGCCCTGTAATCCATTACACATTGGATACAATACGCGTGTTGTCTCGCCGACGTGATCTTAGCCTCCATCTTGTGTACACGCCGGCCTCCATCTTGTGTACACGCCGTTCAATCTTCCGAATCGCAAGGCTGGGATGTCGTCCTTCCGATTATTATTATTATTATAAGATGGGTCTTCAGATGGATTACATTTTTTATTCGATAATCCGTCGGCCGAAAAAAATGTTTATGAAAAAGAGACGGGTAGCTTCTGTCGCGCAGGGTAACAACCCACCCCCAGCCCCCCACGAACCTTTGGCCCTCAAACAAATTGATCCACCACGAAAATATCGATTTTGTTAGTCTATTTCTATTATATCATAGCGCTGTATTATCGAGTGTCAAGTGTGATAACCTTTAAACTCGGGAAGTTCACAACAATGCTCATCCTAGCAGTTTCAGTAAACTACCGCGTTCTCCCACCTCCGGGATGGCGATTCTCCCCATCATCGAGACGTCAAACTAAATTCAGTGCATTCAAAAACCACGTGTATCGACTCCCCAAATGATGATAATTCGCCGAGTGAACTCAGTCAAAAAATGAGTGCGTATAAAGTGATTGGACGGTGCTGCTTCACCGCTGTTCTGGTCATTATCCTCGTCTACTTGATTGTTTTGTTGTTGAAGAGGAAATTCAATTTCAACGGCTGGTTCGTCTCGGGATATTAGCTGCTTGTAAGTGTTCATTTAGGCGAATGTAGGACTTGCATGATCGTTTTACAACTGGATCTCGACCGCAGAAATTGATATTTTATTACTCTACGGCTCGGCTCGCATTGCGTTATTCCGCGCACTGCAGTTATTGATTTTCTTGTTCGAGGGAGACACCCCTTTTTCTACAGCACGCGTCGGTTTTCGAGAACGGCGCCACGTGTTTTTTGTTTCAGTCGATAAAGTCGCGGTTTCGGTCTCTATCTCTTGGAACTGTTTTCATTTTCCGTCGGTTATGGAGAAACGTAAACGGAGGCAGAGGAATACTGATGTAGCCTTTGATGCTTGCGATTATTTCACGGACGACTTTAACGCTTTTAACGCGGAAATAGGCAAGTACCCTGTGTTGTTTTTCTGTTGCTTCCGCGTCAAACATAATTGCTCATTATCTGCGGTCGCAGTGTCGCAACGGCATGGTCGACGAAGAATGGCAACGCCGCGTGACTGTGGCTCGAATATACAATGCGGTCGAGTGAAGTCCCTTTCCCCTTGATATTATTAAACGCTTTATATTAGCTTCACCTGTATGTATGTATGTTTGCTTGTTTGTAACTCTCAAGGTCAGGATCTGTATTTGACAGAATTATCGAAATTATTGCTTGATCTATTCGCGGGCAGATGGCGCTGTACATAACCTCCTTGATATATCGACATTATTGCTTGATCTGTTTGCAGGCAGATGGCGCTGTACATAACCTCCTAGATATAATTCAACTCACTTTACATGTATTTCTTCATTCGAAAAAAGTATTTTTTTTATTAACATGCGCGTCTGCTTTATTTGTAACCCTTCTTTGCGCGCCTGCTGCCTTGGGCTTGCTAGCTGATTTTCAGGTTCGCTCTTCGAAATCGGAAAATATCAATGCTCATTTTTCTAAACAATGTACGGCTGATTTATCTCAAAGTTTAGATAAAATAAATATAGTTTAAAAAACTAAAACACACGCTTTTAAAGAACATCGAACTAAAAAGTTAAAAATATATTTTTTTAAATAAGCTTTAAATAATAACGAACAAAAAATACTTTTTAGTTCGATGTTCTTTAAAAGCGTGTTTTTCAGTTTTTCAAACTATATTAGTAATATAGCTGCAAGAGTTCTGAGCCATTGCTTATGGAAAAACACGTGCACATTTGAGCAGATTCATTCTGGCGTTTTTTGGACCTCAGGCCTACTTCACACGGAAGGGGCAAAGGCCAGCGCCTCGTCTCTGCCAGACGTTCAATTTGTGTGAACTGAGCCTTAGCCTCCAAAGCCCACTTCAGACCACCTCCACTTCTCCACTTTTACCGTCATACAGTCGACCAATCAGAAGCTACCGCGCATATAGCGGGAAATTCAAACCAGTAGATGAACAAGGGTGATACGAGGCGCTGACCTTTGCCCCTTCCGTGTGAAGTGGGCCTGAGGTCCAAAAAACGTCATAATGAACCTGCTCAAATTTGCAAGTCTTTCTCCATAAGGAAAGGCTCAGAACTCTTGCAGCTATATTACTTATATTAATTATTGAAATGATCGTTGAGGTATTCCCGGAGCTCAGTTTTAAAATGTGGTGGTGCGCCATCTTGTTGAAGCCACCATTCTAAGTCTTGTTCTATATGGAACCCCGCCCAATAAATTCGAAAACTCATGCCGAAGGTATCTTACATATTTTCTTCCAGAGAGATGCCTTTCCAAAAAATGCGGACCGATGACTCTTTTTCCAAGAATTCCACCCCAAACATTGAGTGACCAACGCAGGCAACGAACAAAATGGGGGTTTTCGGTTGGATAATAATGAATGTTATGCCGATTCACAGTTCCATTTTTATGAAAAGTCGCTTCAATAGAAAATAACACGAAATCGAAAAAATAATTTTCCTGATTGATCTTTTCTAAGCCCCATCGGCAAAATTGAGCTTGTTTTTCAAAATCTCTTCCCCTTAACTCTTGCATCAATTGCATGTGGTGAGGATGAAATTTGCTTGCTCGTATCATGGGTATATGGTTATTTCATCGAAACCAAAGTCCAATCGTCCCAATGGAAGAGCCCAGGAGAGCCGAGCCCGAAAAAATACAAGTTGTCAAGGTTTTGCGCTCCACTGACACGTCTGAAGAAGCTAATGTGTAGCGAAACACATGTTTGTTAAACTGTTTATTTATTGAAAATCTCACAATAAAGTATTTTTTTGATTAAGAACTACGTACTCATGTTTATTTTTTCCAGATGCGAAAGAGAGAGCGAGACTGGATATACACGCCGCGTTGAGGGACGCATGTAGTCAAGGCGATGCCAGTTCTGTTCAGCAGCTGCTGTTGTCGTTGCAGAAAGATGCGGAACTCATCGTCAACATGGCACCGAGCGGTGCTAACACTCTGTTATTCACGTGAGTTTTTCTCGAAGCATACCTCATCCATATATACATCCATATATAATCCGGATTGAGCCGTAGCTTGTGGGAGAAATCGTATCTGTGTGAAGTTTATGCCATTCACTTTTGAACTCCATCCCTAACTGAATACGGTCCTGAATTTGGATGTTTTCGGCTCGAATAATCTAACAGACCGATTTCTACACATCTACTGCACATCTTGAGGGCCAGGCCTCAGTCCGGCAGCTGTATATGTATACAGATACAAAAAATGCTTGATCTGTATACGAAATTACCTAAGGAATAGTCTTATCGAGATAAAACTCTTTTTCTATGTCTTGTAGATAAGAAAAATATGTCATTGCAAATGTAGTTACGAAAAACGGTTATTTTTTCCCGAGTTTTGAAATTTTTTCAAGGGGAAACTTCTCCTAATTTCGATGTGGTGCTAGATGTACGTTTTGGTTATTATTTTCGCCATACAATTCATGCAGTTTCGGAAAGGTTTGTCTCTGTTCACCTCAATGTTCAAAAGCTCTTTATTTTGTCCGAAGGTAGTAGCTGTGGAATATGCAGTTATCTTCGACGTATAATATTTGTGATTTCATCCGATATATTTAACCTTTTTAATGAAAAAGCATTTCATTATTAAAGTTCATACTAGTAGAATAATTGTTAATCTCTCAGCACTAATGAATAATTCATGTCAAACATTCGAGATATGAGATTATACGAGGTGTGTTCAAAAAATAAGGTGAATGCATTTGCCGTAGAAAAAATTGCCGAATAACAAAGTGTCAATTGACAGATTTGTGTCAGTTTACAGATTGAAATGAGTCAATTGACAGATTGAAAAGAGTCATTTGAAATCTATAAAATTATAGAATAACTAAACTAATTATATTTGATTGATTGATAATATGTTTATTGTTTAAGAATAAATTCTTGTTACAAACACAATGTCATAAATAAATATCAATATAAAAATGAAGTATAAAATTTGAAGTTCAGTGTAAAAAATATAAATGATTAAAATAAAATATAAACTATATATACATACATATGCAGAGGTCACTTGACAAGAACTAGGACAACGAATAAAAATATATGTTTCACACACAGTTCAATCGCAGTTTCATTACATTCTTAATTACAGGGCATCGTTAAAATATTCTTGTAGATCATAATAGGCTTTATCACTTGATAGATTTGTACATTTCTTTCTAAATATGATGAAAGGTGTCTCTTTGATTTCATTGGGAAGTTTATTGTATATCCTGATTCCATTATATATCAACGAGTTTTGAACCAAACATGTTTTTGGAATTGGTAGACTCAGTTCATTTGACCGCCTTGTGTGGCTGTAGCTGTAGATTCATAGTTCTCCCTATTTTTATGTATAATTGACACGGTTTCCAAACAGTTTAAATAAAAGGTTACATTCTTTAAGAAATTCAACAATATTGTTGGTATTGCTATTTTGGAAAATTTCACTTAGTTTGGAGGGAATTTTATTGATCAGTCTCTCAACTGTGAACAGTGGGCACTCTACCAGAACATGCTTAACAGTCACAATCACACGCGAAACATTTTGGTGGCGGTTCTTTCCTCAGTAGATGTTCGTGCGTAAGGCAAGTGTGGCCCAGTCGTAATCTGGTAATTATCACTTGATGGAAGCGGTTTGTTGCTTTGTCGTTTCAAGGATATAATGTAGCCCTGATTTCGTTAAGTTTGGAAGGTTTTTGAGACCAGTGGTGATTCCACATTTCTACAATTTTGCAATGGAAATAGGATTTGAGATCCATCGGTAATGCTTTCATACTGAGATTACAAGCTGGATATTCTACAGCTTCTCTGGCAAGTTTATCGGCTATATCGTCCAGTATGTGAAGGAACCCATAGGAGGGTTACTGTCCTGTTATCTAGTTGATCCATCTCCTCTTTAATCATATTTACCAGTACGTGATGGGTATATATTTTCGACAAAAAAATAAGGGAGTTGAGAGAGTCCGTAATCATCAAAAACTCTTTACCGGGTGCCATTTTAATGAAGGAAAGAGCTTTATAGATGGCATAAAGTTCTCCAGTGAGAATAGTGGCAGATTCATGTAAAGAAAATTTACAGGCGGTCTCGTTCGTTACAAATGCACATCCTACACCACGAGTTGTTTTTGAGGCGTCAGTGAAAATTTTCTGGTGAAGTGGGTATTGAGACATTATAGTTTGGTAATCAACTTGGATCACCTGGGGATTTGTGGTTGCTTTGCTCATGGATAGTAGCTGAGTATTTATATTCGATAAGGGAATACCAAACATGTTTTTGGAATTGGTAGACTTGGTGGATGTACCTGTTATGTTTGTATACATATTTTTCCGCTGAGTTCGTTGATTATTGACCAGCTTTCTTTAGCTTTGTTGTCAGCTTCCGTGATTCTGTTACTGTAGCACAAGTTTTTTTCTTAAAACATTGAAAGTGAGGTTAACAAGAACGATACTAGTTATTTTTCTACTTTACACTCTGAAACTGTGTATTAGGTGAGGTTATGTTAAGAAGTTAGGTTTGTTTTCAATAATGAAACGTCTATACTCGTATTCTGAGTTCAAAGTCGGAATTTCTAAATGACATAGAAAGTAAGGTTAGGAATGAACTATCAATTGAAAGATTCAAAAAGTGTCAGTTGACAAGATTTTTCCATTTTCCCGCACTGTCACCATTACTTCATCGTGTATATATATATGTGTGTGTAAATGAACGTCATTATTATTAATATTATAATTATTGAATTACAGAGCATGTCAAGTAGGGAAGAGGGAGATAGTGAAGATCTTATTGGAGCATGGCGCAGATGGAAGGTGTCATCCTGTAACGAAGTACTCACCTTTGTATATTGCTTGCTATAACGGCCATCGTGATATTGTTGAATTGCTTCTGCTCAGATTTCCGGAATTAGTCCAGGTAACTAATATTTATCGAGTTATTTTTGTTAATAACAAAAACCTCATTGAAACTGTAATACACTATCTCTAGATCTCCATTTTGTAATATTTTTTTTTAGCTTCACACCGTGGAACGTTGGTTACCGATACATGCCTGTTGTATCAATGGACATGTCTCAGTTTTAGAACTTCTGTTCCATTTTCCCTATCCGTCTCAAGTCATGAGGAAGTATCGGTAATTATAATTTTTTACATTTATTGTCAATTATATAAACTATACTTCCAATATATTCACATGATACACACAGGGCAAGGATAAAAAACAAACTTTTCATAAAATCCTCTTCTACGAGTGAAAAACGAAGACGCGACAGTAAGCTCTTACTATTTTTGTAAATTACCCCCTTGAAAAAAATAACTCCCGCAGCCACTGGTCTCTGACAATATTTCTATTAGCGTCCCAAGACTTCCATTGGGATATATAAGCACTAGAAACAGGCAGATGAGGCTATTCTAGTTGAAAGTGCGATACTAAGTGAGCTATTGGGGCCATAGACATTTAAAAATGACTCTGAAGTTCGCTATCAATCAGCGAGAGCACTCGTTTTGATTACAGCTTGCATTCTGTACATTCAACAAACGTAAGGCATCTACAATTCCTCTGACTCTGAGACTAATTTTATTAATGTATCACTTTTGTTTGACAGTTCAATATTGTTTTTTTCTGTGAAGTTTCTATATTGGTTTTATACCGCCTGCATTTTACATTTCTCTGAAAGTAAATTTCATTTTACCCCCTGAATTTTTATCTCAGACTGGTATGGGCTCTGTCTAATGTTCTGCATATGAAGTCTAGCTGGAAAATAACGGAACTGGCTTTCTGTAAGACAAACGAGCCTTAAGGTCAATATTGCAGAGTCGTTTGGCATCCCTCCTCCACATTCCAGCCGGTTGGACGACACTAGCTTGCTCAGCTGTGCCACAGCCGTTGAATCGCACTATGTATCTGTCGCTTGATGGACAAATTGTAGATGTTTCAATTGATCATTAAATTTATGTCACAGAACAGTGAGATATTGAAAATGATCCATGTGAAGATCAGTTGACCCTAACGTTCAGTGTGCGTTTTATTTCAGTGATAATTCGGAGGAGTGGGAGTATTTTATGCCGTTTGACATTAACGAAAGGGACGCTACTGGACAAAACATACTGTATGTTGCCGCGTTATTGGGTAACAAAAAATTGATTGACGTAATTCTGAAATTTCGAGTGAAAGCAACTAGGATTTCTCAGTTGGATGTAAGAAACCATGTGAAAAATGTATATGTGATAGTTAATAATGCCTTTTTTTTAATTTTAGGACGATGACATAACCCCAAGTTCTGAAAACAACTCGCTATTGAGTCCGACGCGTAGGAGAATATCTGACGGAATCATATCCATAATGTCGAAACTGAGCTTCTCCAGAGAAAATTCTGTAGAAATGAATTTCGCTGTAAGTATTTCCAGTTATAATTATGTAACGGGTGATTTTTCAAGAGGTATAGGATTTGATTTTCAAAACAACACAAAAAATTTGAAAAAACTGATAAAATCTTGGAATCGATAGAACGATCAATATAATTTAATGTTTGAAGATTATTTCATGCAAATGTCCGCGGCTCCGCTTTGAATGGCCCATGCGCAAGGTACAGATGCGGCAATTTTGCTTGTTAACGTATCCATTCAACCAGAAATGAGCCTCGTCGTTGAACACAATTTTTCGATAAAAATGTGGATCTTCCTTCAACTTTGCCAGCGCCCATTCGCCAAATGTTAGACGTTGTGGGGGGTCGTGTGGATTCAATTCTTGCACCAGCTGTATCTTACAAGGTTTTACACCCAAATCCTTTCGCAAAATTTTCCACGTAGGGGAGTAACAGAGGCCCAATCGCTGCGAACGGCGGCGAATCGACATTTCACGGTCATCACGAACACTGGCGGATACAGCCGCAATATTTTCTTCGGTCCTCACTCTACGTATGCGTGTTGGTGGTTTAATGTCCAATAATGTAAACTGGGTTCAAAATTTAGTCACTAGCTTCCGAATAGCTCCCTCAGTAGGCCGACGAAACTGCCCGTAAATTGGAAGAAGTGCACGATGCATTTTCTTCACCCAGCATGAATTTTGATAGTAAAATTCAATAATTTGCAAGCGTTGTTCGTTCGTAAGTCGATTCATGGTTAAATTATAGATCAAACTGAACAAGTTCGACAATGACACAAGACACAATTCACGCGTGATCTGTCAAAAACAGTGTTGCCAAAAAGATACCAGCAAAAAAATCACTCATTATGACATATTATGAGTGTGAGCTTCTCCAAAATTTTTCATTGACTATTTTCTACTTGAATGTTTCATTCTTACCATGTCCTTTGGAGTAGACTGCGGTTGTGTAACTTGAACTTCAGATTTAACCAATCCTCGCAAAAATCTGAAGGTATCATATCAGGGAATGGCTTTCTGTAAGACAAATAAGCCCCAAGGTCTATAATTGCAGAGTCGCTTGACATCCCTCCTCCACATCCCAGCCGGTTTGACGACACTAGCTTGCTCAGTTGCTGACTCTTGAAACAAATCGCTAATTACTCGGGAATGGCTGATTCGATTTTCAAAAATGAAATATTATTGAATAGGGAATTGAAATGCATGAAAAACAAGTCATCACAACAGGTCTCCCTTTCTGTTTGAAAAAAAAAATGTGGCGCCCTCTCGGTGACGAGTAACGCAACACTGTTGTAAATAAACAAAAACGATTTTATTATTAATGAATTACCTAAGCTGTATATCTCATCCTTCTCTCGGAGTTCTAGAAATAATGAGATCCGCTAATTTAATTTCAGAACGATCCAAACACCAGAATGATATGCCCTCTGAGGATAGATATGTATTGCAATAACAATACGGAGACGGCCCTACACGCCGCCGTCAAAGGAAAGCATTACGACATAACTTTTGCTCTGTTGAAAGCAGGAGCTAGTGCAAATTCCGTAATCAAAGCCCATCACGACATTAATGAGGTATGACGATGTTTAGGGTGGCAGTGTGAAGCCTAAATTACCACCACCCAATATTGCTTTCACATATTTCACTTCATGCAACGTAAACCAAATTCTTCCACGCACATTTCAATGTAATTATGTTAAATGAGACGTTTTTGTCGAAGGCATATCTAAACAACTTGCATTATGTTCTATTTATCATTCATTGTTACTGTGTACTGTGATTCTGAACATTCATCTCTCCTAGCATACCTACACACTAGAGTCTGGTAAATGCCTGCTGAAAAACAACCACTCTCCTGGCTAATATCACGCTCTACATTGAACTATATCCGACTGACCAAGATACTCATTCACCAATAATACCTCACAGAGGCCCAGTGTAAATAGGTGTGAACCACAATAAACCCTTGCGTGTTGCGGTGTAGGTTCGAATAGAACGACTCGTATTGGACCTAACCTAACCTGGTCTTGCAGGTGTTTCTTCTGCAAATACGTATAAATGTCTGTTGGATATGATTCAATGTCCAGCGTGGTATCAGCCTGGAAAGTAGATGTTTTCCGACGGGCATTTACCAGAATCTAATGTTCAAGAGAGACGATTGTTTCCGAGATTTCATTTCGAAATATTTATTTTCTTATGTACGAGGTCTGTTCAAAAAATATGGTGAATTTTCATTTTTATCTAAAATAATTTATTTATTCATCAATTTTACCTTTACTTGATAAAAATGACAAGTTTCAAAACGAATATGCATGTGTTTATATTTATTACTTATGTTGCTTTCAATGGAATCGGAATTCTTCTTGAAATAAATTCAATTCCAAGTTAGTGTCGATTTTATTATATTATATATGCTCTCGCTCTTATACTTGAAGTAAATCATGACTTTTTTTCAGAGACTCGAATAAATTTGACAATCAACAAACTTGAGTTCAAAATTTTTCTAAGGTTGAAATTTCTGCGTTAGTGTTTTGAAATGTTTTCTAGAGTTTGTGCTGTTCCATTGAAGACGATTCAAATTATGGACAATCCACTGGATTGGTAGAAGCGTGCCGAAATAGAGACGTTCCTATCGTCGACTTGTTACTGAAAAGTGGTGCCAGAGATGATGATTGTAAAGCGTTATCAGTCGTCGTGGAAAACAATGATGAGACACTCACTGCCAAATTGTTATCGACAAAGGTAAAGAATCATACTTTTTTTGTATTTATGTTTGTATTTTATATTTCATCTATGAGCTAATGTTTTCTACAGTTAAGAAAAAATCTGTTTAAAATCTATTTTACCTTTTAACGTGTAATTCCTAACTCGCTTGTAGAATCATCCCAGCTTCAACCAGATAAATTCTCTCGAGAAAAATATCTGGTCGAGGCGGGAATCGAACCTACGGCCTTCCGATCGTGAGTCGGGCGCACTACCACCGCGGCCAGTTCCACAACAAGTATCATGGATTATTTGTTTCCTACGCAAGCTCGAAGTAAACCTAGCTGTTTCCAGAACAAATAAAATTAAAAATAAATGTAAAAAGCCATGAGTGACAAAAGGACTGAAAACATCCTCTAGAAACCTGCGCTCACTGCATTATATCAGGAAAATTGACAAATGAAACATTTTTCTATAACTATTTCAATGATTACAAAAAAGTCTATTGATACACTATCAGTCTAGCTAAGAAGATATATTACGACAAAAAAAATTCCGTTAATCGGTTGTCGCCCCCATGCGAAAGACAGCTCTCTTGCGCGAGCTAAGGACTAACGAGGTCTTACCTTTTAACGTGTGATTTCTAACACGGAATGGGGGAATCGAAGAATAAAATTAAAAAAACTTTGTCAATTATTAGTGATATAAGTGGCAAAACAAAAAAGAAAAACTTTCAACTCTCACTTAACCCTAATATAATAAACGAGTTCTACTGTTCTATTGCTCAACTTAGACAATATAAAAATTCATGACAGTCTTATTTTATATGACACTGACCTTAATGAATTTTTCAAAACACGGCCGGATATGATGATATTTCCGTTGAGATTTTTTTGAATTTACCACTCAATGCTCTAGAAACTTTGGTTGCCCTTATTAATACCTCATTTAAAACTGAGGCTCATTTCCTTTTCCCTTGCATATGCAACTGGCAATAAAACTGCCTGCCTACACTTGGTTAGTACCTCGACCACTAGATGGAGTGACATTTTGTTGTTCGCTTCAACTTAGGAAGAGGAATGAAATGCTCTGAAAGAAGTCCGATTTTCAATTATGGAATATCATTGACTTTAGGTCGATGATGGCCATTATCTTGCACTGATGAGTGGCTAATGAGCCCGAAACCGGTCTGCAAGTGTGCTCGTTCCAAAATTGAAGGTCAACTCTTTCAGTTGTATTGTCAATTGCATATGCATGTTTTTTTTTTTTTTTTTTTTCATAAACCAAATTCTTCCACGCACATTTCAATGTAATTTTGTTAAATGAGACGTTTCTGTAGAAGGCATATCTAAACAACTTGCATTATGTTCTATTTATCATTCATTGTTACTGTGTACCATAATTTGATTCTGAACATTCATCTCTCCTACCATACCTACACACTAGAGTCTGGTAAATGCCTGCTGAAAAACAACCACTCTCTTGGCTAATATCACGCACTACATTGAACTATATCCGACTGACCAAGATACTCATTCACCAATAATCCCTCACAGAGGCAAATAGGAAGAGGAATGAAATGCTCTGAAAGAAGTCCGATTTTCAATTATGGAATATCATTGACTTTAGGTCGATGATGGCCATTATCTTGCACTGATGAGTGGCTAATGAGCCCGAAATCGGTCTGCAAGTGTGGTCGTTCCGAAATTGAAGGTCGACTCTTTCAGTTGTATTGTCAATTGCATATGCATTTTTTTTCGTAATTTTCTGTGAAGATTCCTGCACTGACGCCTCTCGGATATAATCCAATGCCCTTCGTGGTATTAGCCAGGGGAGTGGTTGTTTTCTGATAGTCGTCAGTCCATTCAACCTACTGTGTAGGTATATTTGAAACTGGCTTGAACGTTTAAAGTTCATTTCTTTAGATTTGTCTACTGCCAGTCTTCAAACATAGCACACTGACTAATAAGAAAATTTAAATTTCATCAGCCAAAAAGAAAAGAAGAATAGATCACTCTTCTTTAAACTGATACAATTACAGTCTCCAACAAAGCACGTGACATTTCTTTCTTTTGGTGGAAAACAATATTAAACCAACGGAATTCCAACCAATTTACATCCTCTTCAAGTATTTCATTTATCGGGAAGAAAGCTTAACTATGCCAAGTTTTTTCGAAAGGTCTGCACCTTATAATAAAAACGTCAGGTTTTGGAGGATCTCTTTGAGTCAATCTTATGATCGGACACCTTTGCAGGCTCATCCAGATCCAGAATTCAAAATAAATAAGAAAGCAATGACGGAAAACGTGAATCCCTCTCAATTCACGATATTCTCCAACGTCACCAACCTGACGTATTCGGCTCTCTTTCCCAATACACCAACCATGATAAACTGGCACAACCAGAAATGCAACCTCAAGCAAATCAAAACCCAGTGGCTGACAGACGCGTCTTTACATCTGAACCCGAAACTGAAGCAAAATCCGAGAAACTACGACATTGCTCTGTACGCCATCACAAGACTAGACATATCAAATAACAGCTTGACATCGATACCGCTTGCTGTCTTCCAACTGTACAGTTTGAGGTTAGTAAGCGCGGAGCCGTGTAATTCCTTGATATTCATCGTTTCAATTTTTGTTGAAGACACTTGAACATGGCTCAGAACAGAATCGAAAAACTCCCCGTTCCCATCCCCACTCCCGTTAAAAAAGGATTCAGGCGGAAAAGCAACAATCACGACGATCAGAAGTATTGCTGCCCCGTCCTAGAGGAACTGTACCTCCAGGATAATAGACTGGACAACATTCCCGATGCTATTTTCAAGCTGCCATCCCTGGTCATCCTAGTCGTCTCCAACAATAAACTACAACAGCTGCCGTATAATGTTTGGCTTGCCCCGAAGCTGAAGGAACTGAACGCTTCCTTCAACTTGATCAAGGAGCTTCTGACAGGACCTCCGGATGTGCGTAGACATCGATTGAGTGAGCTACGAAGGTACTGATTCTTTTTTTTTTCGATTTCAGAGTAAAGAGGATACGGATAGGATGAGCGTCAGTTCCAGCGACAGTCAGTTGTCCAGCCATGCCGAACTCGATTCAGATTCCGAGCTGGGAGGGTTTGAACTAGTGTCAAACCTAAGTGCCTTGGAGGAGGGAGTACAAGCAGTGCGTTTTCGCAAGAAGGACCGTTCCTACATGCAAGTATTTCTTTTTATTCGATGGGAGAAGCCCAGTACAGAACGTAAATAATGGGCTTGTTTCATGCTATGGAAAATGGTACTGGTTTGCTTATAGACTGATCGAGTTAGGGGTATATTATACTTATCCAGACTAATTGGTTCCAAAATCTCTTTATATTTGCAGAAAAAAGAACAATTCGAAAAGCAAGAATTTAAATTGGCCGCGTGTCTGTTGACCAATAAAATTGATCGTGTCTAGAGCGGAGTTGCCAAGTGTATTGGTTTTTAATATCCAATCACAGATCTGATGATCCAATTTGACAGACGACATTTTTGTTGTTATTGCTGTCAACTCGGTTGAATACAACTGTTACAATTATCTAATTAAAGAACGTTTTTTTGTAAGAGGTAGGTCTCGGCGGGTACCTATTTTGCTGCATATTCCGTCTCATTAGTTTACATTCCGAAAAATATTTTTTCAGGTTATTTTTGGATTGATATGTTCTGGAGTAATTCTACATTTCACTTTACATATTTTTGCTTCTTTTTTCTGTCACCATACTGCTCCTTGGCCGAGATAAAATAAAAATTAAATAAAAAATTGGTAAATTTTCGTTATGTGGTCACCCGGCGATTTCGAATAAATTTTTGACTGTACTTATGTAATTTGATGCGTAGATTACGAATCCGAAAGAAAAAAGCGGCGCTCTTCCTTATTTAAAAAGTTACGGCCCTTCATAGTTCAGAAAAGGGCAACTTTTCAGCCTTCTTTTTCACTAAATAAACTATTTAAAAACACAAGCATTTATTCACTAGGTCACCTTTACACATTATTCCTCCTTCCTCAACACTTTTCACTTCAATAATCAACATTTTTCTTATAAAAAAACTTGATTTAAAAACGAATGCTTCTCCTGGTGACATTATTCTATTTTTAGTTTAGTTACTAGTGACATTTCAGAAAAAAGCGGTTGGTATTTGCCGTCGCCTACTATTTCAAATTCGTAATACACCACCAAAAACCAATTTACGATCTAAAGAATGAAGGTAAAAAACATTTGAATTACTTCAGGAATATGGACTGCATCAGTCGTACCAACCATATCATTAACCTTAAAAACGTAAAATACAGTGATATGTAACCAAAAAGCAGCTCCGTACATTTTTTAACATTTTTATAAGAAAAATGTTGACTATTGAAGTGAAAAGTGTTAAAGAAGGAGGAATAAGGTGTAAAGGTGACCTAGTGAATAAATGCTTGTGTTTTTAAATAGTTTATTTAGTGAAAAAGAAGGCTGAAAAGTTGCCCTTTTCTGAACTTTGAAGGGCCGTAACTTTTTAAATAAGGGATAGCGCCGCTTTTTTCTTTCGGATTCGTAATCTACGCATCAAAATACGTAAGTACAGTCAAAAATTTTTTCAAAATCGCACATAACGAAAATTTACCGTTTGTGGAAACCATTGACGTTAGAAAGAGCACATTATCGAATACACTACAGAGAGGGAGCTGGCTGACTGGATGACAATATGGCTAATATACCAGTAACGTTGAATTACTTATTTTTTTGTGGGTGGCATGAATGCATAATTGATTTATTTTATAAGGGTTCATGAGCATTCGAAAACCATTTGAAATTACAGCTTGTTAATTCTATTTAGAATTATATTTAGATATAACTTGTACTATATCAGTTATCAAGGCAAATATTATTGTCCATTTTTATGCTTAATTCGTGGGATTCGAGCGATCTTATTATTGTATATTTATTTGTTTGCTGGCTTTATTCTTTAAAAAAATGAATGGATAATTACAGAAAATTTTAATTTATTGGTTTATTCGGCATTGAAAACTTATGTCATATCGGATCAATTCTGCTTGTTTTTGCAACATTGACTTTCAACTTTTTCTTAGCTGACAGCTCGCGTAGGAACAATTCGTTTGTTCATCGAGTTTAGTTTGTGTATGTTTTGAAGGTGTTTTAGAGATATATTTGAATATTAATATGGTGTATTCTTGGTCTGATTCTAATTGTGCTGAAAGGCACAAAAAAACAGAAAGCGCGTTGGTTTGTAAGTGAGTTATTTCATATAATGAGTTTAGGTTCCCAAAGGATAAAATGATGAGAAAAAAATTGGTGGTATCGAAAAGAAAGAACTGCAATCCTTCTACTCTTTCAAGACTTTATAGAAATCATTTAAAAAGTGACTATAAATGAAAGAGGAACGAAAATATTGATTTCAATGACGTCACCTCCCTACCACATTCGATTTTCAATAATTGATTACGGGAAAACTACGGTTCTTAGAGAGATGAAACAAAGTGCACTGTTTTTCAATTTAAAATTTCTATCAAGTGAACTATAAACCAAAAATCATGAAACAAGCCCATCGGTGACAATTAGAAAGAGATAACAAATATAGGCAGTAATTTTTAGATGATGTCTATTTACTATTCTGCCAGCATTTTATATAATATTTTGGTATTTGGTGCAGATATCACTAGTGCAGAGAGGCATGGACTTTTAATAACTAGTGACATTTAACTATTTACATAAAGGATGAACAGTAAGGGTTCCGATGTTGAACCCTGTGGTACATCATCTGGTTTGTTTCTGATATTTTTAGACCACCTTCTGTCCTCTCAGATTTCCTCAGTTTTCCTTCCTTCAAGATGGGATGTTTTACTATACAACTCCAGACCACTTGATGTTGAGTTGGTGGATACAGACGTGCTATTCCCGATTTGTTGATTCCTGTAGGCTAAATTTTTTTCTTGTGCTCGTCAGTGAGGACATTCAATGGCCTCATGATTTCACTGACACTGAATTAGCTGCACTCAGATGGTATCGCTGTTCAAGTTTTGACTGCTTAGTTTTCGTGGAGCTGCTTTGAATGGTGCTGAGAACGGATCCGAAGCAGATTTTTATGTTGTACTCAGACACAATTCTTCTTATCCTTATCGACAATTATCTGATATGCGGAAGAGATAGCGCCGGTCGTGATGTCTAGTCTGTCTTGCGAGTCTCTTGATGTCTTCAGGCAATGGTCTGTCCCACCAGCTTTTTAGGGCAACTACTCTGTTGAAAACATTTTCTTATGCGGCCTAGTTTCTAGCAGAGACTGCTAGGTTACGTCTTCAGATGTTATTTGTTACAAATGTTAGCTATAACCTATGAACGTGGCCATTACATAGTAGTCCCTAGATTTGCATGAAGATTTCGTCCTTCAGTTAGAAATAATTCCGCAAAAAGTATCCTACATAATATCCTATCTAGTAGTTCAGTACCTTGAATTGAATTTGTTATTTTTTCGGCAAAATTCGAGGTTCAATTGATTCGAGCTTGATTCCTGTTATATATAATTGATCTGCTTTATTGTTGCAGTCAGCTGGATCTGAACAAACACCATATTTGGAACAAGAGCGTCGAAGTAACCGAACAAATCCTCCACAGTGACGACAACCTGACTGAGCATTCGTCCCAGCTGTCGTCTCTCAACTTGGCCCACAACCTTTTTACCAGCATTCCCGTCGTTCTTCCTTGTCTGGCCGTCAATTTGACCAGGCTGAACATGTCTTTCAACTCGCTGCGCTCCATGTCGCACATTACGAGTTACCCGAGTTCGCTGAAGCAGCTCGATCTGAGCCACAATCAGATAACGGTGTGGCCGAGCTTGCCTCAAGTCGAGGCCCAGGATAATATGGAGCTGGCGAATCTGGCCTGTTACATGAACGGGGGTAATTTCAGAGGGAAAACGCCGGATATCGTAGGTAATTCATTTTGTTTCGCAAAATTTTCCACGTAGTGGAGTAACAGAGTATCAATTGCTGTGAACGGCGACGAATCGACATTTCACGGTCATCACGAACACTGGCGGATACAGCCGCAATAATTTCTTCGGTCCTCACTCTACGTATGCGTGTTGGTGGTATTTGAAAGCGAGATGTGGTGGAAGATTTGCCTCGTTCTGCTCGGCCATCAACATCCTCAACTGAACCTAACTTCCCTAAAGTAAAGGAAATGGTGACTGAAAATCGTCGTTTGAGTCTGAGAGGCACAGCCGCTGAAATTTTTACCAATCACCAATCAATTTGTCTATTTTGAACAATTTTTTACACAAACTCAATCGCGAATAGGTCGCTGAAGACATCTCAGAACGAGTCAATTCCGGCGACTACTCCATAAAACTCATCAAAACTGGTGATGAGACAAACATGATATGCAAACCAGTCGACAAGCTTCAGAATGGCGCCTCCCAACTGAGCCGAAACCAAAAAAAGCTCGTTAAAGCCGATCAAAAGTGAAGATGATGTTAACAGTTTTTTCGTTATGCGGTGTTTTAGAGCTTATATTTGTCGAAAGACCAGATATGTGGGATAAACCTCTTGGATTTTGCACCATCTCACGAGGTTCAACAAATCTTATCTAACAGTCACCGTATTCACTTGATATGGCTCTTGTTGATTTTTTCAAAAAAAGAATTAATGAGTTGAATGAACTCAAATCGTTGCATCTGGCGCCCAACGTGGGGCGCTAGATGTAACGATTGTGGGATAGAATTCATTGAGTTGAATAAGTCTTGAACAAATTTTGAATGAGTTCATCTGATACAATTTCGCTACAGGCAATCTGATTGTATCGAGCCGTGCAAAATTATTCAGATTCTACCTCGATGTGTAAAACATAAAGTCAATTCAATAAAATCTCAACTACAATTGAAATCGAATGTTCCATGCGATAGGGAAATTGTTGAATAAATGTAAAGCTAGATCTCTGAAGTATGTTTATTTTTTCTACATGATGATGAGAACAGTAAAACTTGCCGTTAGAGCGCGCATGTTAGTAACGAGGGTTGCCTTTTATATTTCGGGATTAGAGAGCAGAAGCAAATCCATACAGTCGACTGCTGTTTACTTTCGGGCTCATACGCGTAAATACACGATTCATCACCTGTCACGATGTCATAGACGTGTTTTGAAGCACCGCGTGAAGCTCAAAAATGTCCAGCTTTACGATAGAGTTGTCAGTTGCCAGATTGCAACACCAGGGTTGCCAAATCCCGAAACATAAAAGGCAACCTATCGTTTTCTTTCTGGCGCCGTTGAAAAGACAAAAAATTTTGAGGTTAGGATATAAGTTGGCAATGAATAAATTGTATAATTCAGTTATATACCTGAAACCCAAATATAGAGTTTCCTTTGCCAAAGAAACCAAATAATCAGACAACTATGCCGATAATGCTGTAATAACAATAGTATTAATGATTTCGTCTTTATTTATTACAGTTTTTCACTATCTGAGTTTATTTTTCAGATAATCAAAGGTTGAATACCCAAAAAACTGTAATATCTCAGTGACTACTAATTCAATCTATACCAGTATCATAAAAATATTCGATATTTTCGGACAAAGTTTACAGTCTATCAGCGAATATTTTTTCTAGCAAGAAGACAATCTGGTAGGTCGGTGCGACACATAGTTCTCCATTCAGTGTGTTCGCACAGGAGACATTTGAAGTTAGATAATTTGCGAACGTTGGTTCTGGCCGATAATCGGTTGACAAGAATTCAGCTAGCCACTGATGACGATGGAGATATCAGCAGTACGGATGACGAAGAATTGGAAAGGGTTTGTACAAATTGTTTTGTAGAGTACAATTTTCATTCACAGATGGCATGCTGATGTTTTTACTGCAGATTGTACTTGTTTGAGGATATTAGGATTTAAAACGTTTCTTTATTTTGCTTCCTTTCTCAAAGTTTCAGTATTTTTCTCTCCTCACAGTTAGCTTCCGCCAGAAGAATAAAAAATTATTTTAAATTTACTTGAAAAAATAAATTTTTGTTTTATTTTTTGTACAAGATATACTCTGATTATCATTTTAAAATATTATTGATGTAGTGTTTTGGAATCAACTCATCTTTAGAGGTTGTTGATATGCTTTAAATTTTTGTAGGGTTCTCACACTGGAAAATCCAGATTGATGTTTCCTAATTTATCAATGTTAGATATAAGCAATAACAATCTGAAGGAAATACCGCCAAATATTAACGAACTCAACAATTTGTCTGTACTGAATATTAGTGGAAATTTGGGTAAGTTTATTTTCCATTCATTCATGTTTATCGATCTAAAAGGGCCAGATGCTCAAAGCTTTGGCATACAGGTTGTTAATTAAGTATGTACCATAAATTTAACAGACGATTCTTTAGGTAATTTTAAGACGAAATGTTTATATAAACATGCGCCCGCAAATCCTTCGTTCTCAAGATACTTGAGTGCCTCAAGGAGCTGTGCTGTCTCCACTATTGTACAGCCTTTACGTGAGCGACCTTCCGAGGTTCGATCACGTGAAAGTTTCTCTTTACGTCGATGATACGGCTCTCCTCGCTTCTCCATGGGTCGAGGGTTGGCGGTCGTCTACGTACAACGCGCATTGGACGACCTCGAACGCTGGTACCTGGAACAAGACACAGATTCACGATTTCAAACAGGGAAATCGAATGGCAAACGCGAGTCAAATACCTAGGTCTTTGGGTAGACCGCCGACTCACCTGGATAAATCACATCGATTATATCAAGAGCAAAGTACAAATGAGGATAGTCAAACTCTATCCTTTGATCAACAGATCAATGAGATTTTATTATGCAATACGATGTTCAAGCCTGTCAAACTGACTCAAAAGGGACAGTATCAGGTGCCTAATGGTTATACTTCAGCTTTCTGCGCGGCATTAGCTGGGTTAGTTGTTGTCTTTCCGTCGGTTACCTACAAAATCGTAGGTCCACATGAGAGGCAAGGGTTAAGGTGTTTTTCACCTGAACTTTGGGCACTTCTCCGGAATGTCATCATTATTCTGACTCCAACCCCGGAGTGTTTGTGGAGTTGCTTCCTGGCTTTGTCTGCAGGTGGCGCAGTAGGCATCCTACCGAATCAACTGTAGAAACAGTTTGTGACTAGCTGGAAGTGATTTTGTTCGGCCGGGATACTCGGTTCACTCCGTCTATGTATCCCATATGCAAGAACTAACTTGGGAGGAATCTTCCTAATAGAAGACGTTGCACAGGTGCGTGATGGTTTTACTTCAGCTTTCTGCGCGGTATTTGCTTGGTTAGTTGTTGTCTTTCCGTCGAGTATCTGCCACACGTATCTACAAAATCGTAGGTTCACATGAGAGGCAAGGGACAAGAGAAATTCGATTTCATTGAAATTCAGAATACCGTTTCCATTCGAATCAATTTTTTTACGCCAGTTTACGGCATGCCAATCTAAATTTGAATGGTATTCCAGAAAGTTATTTCGCGATGTCTTGAGGTACACAAAATTGAACCTTCCAAATGAAAATTTTCGTACACATTACCAATGAACAATGAAGGAGAACATTGAAATAATATATGTGACCTCACGATTTCCTCAGCGTGTAGTGCCTAATAGAGGAACTTTTGTACGTCTCCATGCACGACTTTCTGAAGCAGGAAGCTTTAAAAGATCGACGGTTGTCACTGGGGGGCCTGCAACGAACGGTACGAACAGTTCAAATTGAAGAAGCTGTTTTAAATGAGATTGAAGTAAATCCTCATACCAGTAATCGGAAAATAGCTGAAGAACTGTCACAGTGTGGCAGATTTTAGGAGCTCAGCAGCTATATACCTATCACATGCAACGTGTGCAAGCTCTATTGCCCAGAGATTTTAAATAAAAAATGCTAATCCGATGTACTAAGCCCGCGAAATTTAAATATCCACCTTATTTTTTGAACAGTCCCCGTATGTAACTCTGCCCTCAACGTTAAAGTAAAAAAATCCATAAATAAAAGTTTCGTCTTTGGTATCTTAACTCAAGAGAAATAAATCTCTAAGTAAGAGTAAGTAAGTTTTCAAATAACCAAAGCATTAATACCCTTGCCCTGTAAACTTCATTCCAAAGAAACAACAGTGAACTGAACCTCACTATTTTTATGAGAAAAGATTAAACAGTTATGTATATTTGCATTATATGTTTGCAGAGCACTGCTAAATATTCGGAATATCTCGCATGTTGGTCACATATTTTATCTATTCAATTTATTAGTCAATAAACGCGTTTATCCTCCGCCACTCAAGATGAACTAATTTGCCATTGAAACCGAAATAAAACCGACAGCACCTATTTTTAGATATCAGCGAACTCCCACCTCAGATGGGCCTGCTATCTCGTTTGTGGAATCTGAACACCAGAGGGACGACCTTGCAGGAACCCCTCAAATCTATGATAGACAGCAAAAAGTACAAAACAATGGACATCATCGGGTATTTGAAATCCGTGCTTGAAGATGCCAAACCTTATGCCAGAATGAAACTAATGATCGTAGGCGTCCAGGGAATTGGGAAAACTAGTCTGTTGGAACAATTGAGGCAGGAAGGCGCTACGCGTAGGCGACCGGAGGTTAGTTTTCATTTGTTTTGGTAATTGCTTTCAAACAGTGGCGTATCGAAGGTAGGGGAAACAAGGAAAAATTGTTGCCATTAAATTTTGTTTTACGTTGTTGAAAAATATTCGTTGTTCGTCTGTTGACAGTTACTAACCAAGGTTTCAGCCATTCTGGACTCGCAGTTGTAATGTAACAGTCGTTTGAGTGAGTTGTTGTGAGGGTTTTTATGAAAATGGACTAAATCAAGTATCGAGCTGTCATTAAATGACAGCTATTTGTCAGTTGTTTACTTACCTCAAAAACTATTTTAAAGTTGATGTATTTTGAAAAACACTTTATTGTGAGATATTCACTAGAACATATTAACAAATCCGCAACACGTGTTTCGCTGCACAGTAGCTTTCTCAAGCGTGTTCGCTAACAAACTGAATTCTACATACATTATGATTTATATATACTTTTTGAGATATTACTATCTACCTAGAAAGTAATAATATTCTAGAAACTAATTAATGACAGTTATACCTGAGTTTAATGACTAGGTCAACTAATTATCTCACAATAAAGTGTGAATGTGATGAAAATCTATGATAATGTATTTTGAAAAACAAGTATCGGCCAACTCTATCTTATATTTTTAAGTTAATAAATATAACAGTCTATTAAATAAATATAATAAAATATATTTAATAAATACAAAACAAAGTAACCTTCACAAGAAACAGAACACACTACGTCTATGCAGATAAGGACGCTTGATAATGAAGAAACCGAATGACTAGTCATGGCATTTTAAGGACGCAAATATAATAGACCTGCGAAGTTTTGATCAGTTTACCGATATTTCAAAGTATTTAACGAACTGGTTCACCTATTCGCTCGTACGTCCTATCAACAAGCAGAAACTATCTTGTTACGGGGGGCAAATTTTATGACATAGACAATAAAAATGACCCCGGCAAGAATTTAGTTCTAATATTTAACATTGTTGCCGTTAGCTCTCAGTTCAATTTGTATATGACTTTCCTTCAATTGAAAATTGTTATACTATAGCAGAGGTTATGAACATGTCAAATGAACTTGTTTGCCACATATTAAATTGACATTTAGGCATGAGAAAGCAGTACGCGCGTTGGGTGCCGCGTTTGCTCACGATAGACCAAAAACATGTTCGAATGGACATTTTCAACGCTCTGTTCGTGCAGTTCAGGCGCAATAAATCCGAGTTTTGACGTCGATTAATAACTGTAGATGAAACTTGGATACACCATTATACGTCAGAAACAAAAATACAGACCAAACAGTGGACTGCAAAGGGGGAACCGGCTTCAAAAAAGCAAAAACTGTTTTTCGACTCTGTTTTGAGATAGTCATGGAGTTATTACAATTGATTGTTTTCAAAAAGGAAAAATCATTACAGAAGCATACCACCCATCATTACTTGACAAGTTGAAGGCTATAAAACCATGATTACTGACTTTTTCGTTTATCAATTGAACAAAAATGATGTACAGGAGCTGTGGTTTTAACAAGACGGCGCAACATGTCACATAGATCGTACCAAAATTGATCAATTGAAGGAAACGTTTGGTAACCGCATAATTTCACGTTTCGGACCCGTGAATTGGCCTCCAAAATCGTGCCATTTAACACCGCTAGACTATTTTCTGTGGGGATCCCTAGTCTACGCCGATATACGGCCACACATGTTGGAAAAAGTCGTCGAAAATTGGACCTCCAGGTTAAACTGTTTGTAGAGTTGTTGCATTTCATGCCATACACATCACAAAATACTGCGTTTTTAGTTGCTTTCATCGAGAAACTTTTTTTCCACTCGGATGACTGCTGACTTGACTCCACATGAAAAAAAATCCTCATCTGTTGTCTTATACAGCTTCAAACAATGCTCTGTATCATCAGCACATTGTTTTCAGTCGACTGTGTTGATGGAGTTTTCTTATACTTGTACCATCTATCTAGAATGGATTTTCGAAATGTTTATCACACATACATTACCTTTTGTCACACCTTTTTTTTTACTTTTTTGGAGTTTTCCGGATAAATTTCACAATCTTATCACAAAAGAATCATTATTCGGCAGTGTGACATTCTATAAATGAAATGAATGACAAATCATATCTCCTAACGAAGAATGAAATGATATTTTAGCATTGGGCGAAGAGAATGGGAAACAAGAACATTAATGCGAAAACTTCGCGAGGTTCAAACATGTCAACAGTTGGAGTTGACATTGGAGATTGGGTGTACGAGAAAAAAGTGAGGTCACAATCCTCTCACGGTCCGGTTGTCTTCAGAACGTGGGACTTTGGTGGACAGAAAGAGTGAGTATAAAATTTATTCATTCATTCATTGAGTATGATAAAAATAATTCTGTAGTTGTATACTTGTGGAAACATTATAATCATCCAGGCAGGTTAAGTATTCCTCTCGCGGCTATTGCCTTTATCAGATTCATTTTATGAGTACACCGAAATCATCGAAAGATTTCTTGAATCAATAGACTAGATATTTGTGGAAAAATATGTACGCCACTGATTTATCCTGAAATGAAAACTGGGTCTTGACAACACATACTTATCAGTTTTGTGAATAATTTGTAGGAGGGTGCTTCCAAGGTTATTTTTGATTGAATGTTATACCTAAGTACTTGAATTGTTTTATTTACTCCACAGATTTATGATTGATCTTTAGGGCAGATATTTCCCTGTTGGAAAATGATAAAGACTGTCTGAAGTACAAGTAAGATCCCCCTTGGGTACAATTTGGTTGTTTTTTGTGACCGTCTAGTGTTTACGTTATCGGACTCCATTTTAGGGCAGTTACTGATTCTGTCTTGTATGTGCATTGCTTGGATTCATTTCCTACTTTTTTTTTTGAATAATTCACGTTATATACTGCAGTTGCTCGTTCATTCCTGTTCATTATTTTTCTGAAAACTGGATTAATGAGTCCGCATTGCAATCTGTGGCAAATGAAAATATTGTGATTTTTGTTATCAATCCATCTTCAATTTGATCTCGTGACCAAAGCGCTTTCTTATGGTTCGTGATACCAAATCGATGTTGTCCCCTTGCAACTGCATTCTCCGCAGAACTAACGTATCCGGCTCGAAGGACCAATGTGGCAATTGTTTCACAGAACTATTGTGATTTTTGTTATCAATCCATCTTCAATTTTATCTCGTGACCAAAGCGCTTTCTTAGGGTTCCTGATACCAAATCGATGTTGTCCACTTGCAACTGCATTCTCCGCAGAACTAACATATCCGGCTCGAAGGACCAATGTGGCAATTGTTTCACAGAACTATTGTGATTTTTGTTATCAATCCATCTTCAATTTGATCTCGTGACTAAAGCGCTTTCTTAGGGTTCGTGATACCAAATCGATGTTGTCCCCTTGCAACTGCATTCTCCGCAGAACTAACATATCCGGCTCGAAGGACCAATGTGGCAATTGTTTCACAGAACTAGTGTGATTTTTGTTATCAATCCATCTTCAATTTGATCTCGTGACCAAAGCACTTTCTTAGGGTTCGTGATACCAAAATGATGTTGTCCCCTTGCAATTGCATTCTCCGCAGAACTAACATATCCGGCTCGAAGGACCAATGTGGCAATTGTTTCACAGAACTATTGTGATTTTTGTTATCAATCCATCTTCAATTTGATCTCGTGACCAAAGCGCTTTCTTAGGATTCCTGATACCAAATCGATGTTGTCCCCTTGCAACTGCATTCTCCGCAGAACTAACATATCCGGCTCGAAGGACCAATGTGACAATTGTTCAACAGAACTATTTCGTTTCCAGGTATTACGCAACCCATCAGTATTTCCTATCGAAGCGCAGCCTCTACCTGGTCGTGTGGCGCATAACAGACGGTCATAGAGGCATCAACGAAATACTCCAGTGGCTTGTCAACATTCAAGCCCGCGCTGCCAATTCCCCGGTGATCATAGTCGGCACCCACTACGACGTCGTCCAAGAGTTCAGCCCGAACATCTCCGAAGAGTACCAGAGAATAATCCGCGACAGATTCATAAACATCGTCGACGCTGAAAAATGCGGGCTGCCGCGCGTCTTGGACACGATCGAAATCAGCTGCAAGACGAGGCACAACGTCAAACTGCTGTGCAACTTGATTTACGACACGGTGTTCAGTTTGCGACCGCCGGGTAGCAAGGAACTGTTGCTGGAACAAAAGGTACCGGCGACTTATTTGGCCTTGGAAGACGTTATCAATTACGTCGCTTGCGAGAGGAAGTCGAACGGTTTGGATCCCGTTTTGAACGCGGAGCAGTACAAGAATCTGGTTACGACTGAAATGTTACAGAGGTACAACAAAACTTTCAGGGACTGGTCGGAGTTGCATCAGGCCACTTTGTTTCTGCACGATAATGGTAAGTTTTATTATTCTAGAATATTGGTGTTGACTGTAACGCTTCGGGTTGCAGAAGCAAAATTTTGTGTTGATTCGACATGAGAATCTTTATTCTGTGAATCAATATCATTGTTCCTTTCATTACAGGCGTTTTGTTACATTATGATGATGCAACCCTAAAAGATCTCTACTTCCTTGACCCACAATGGCTGTGCGATATGCTTGCGCATGTGGTAACTATAAGAGAAATCAACCCTTTCGCGAGGACGGGTGTTATGAAGCTGGATGATCTGAAACACATATTCAAGGCCAGTAACATCGGGCCTATGGATACGAGAGGTTAGTGACAGTTTTTAGGTTAGGGTTGGTTAGGTTCAGGCTGACATTTATTAACCAGCGACAAAACATTCAACTAATCTTGTATTTAGGTTATATCGTGAACCTACTCAACAAATTCGAAGTTGCTTTATCCTGGGATTCAAGAACATTGCTTATACCCTCTCTGTTGCCCTCCGAAGAGGATATCCTTATGGCGCAGATATATCCGGGGCAGTTCCATCCCATGGTGAAGGTTAAAGTACCCTTGAGGTCAAGAGGTTGGGCAATTAGAAGTAAAAAGATTGCCGTGTCGCCAAAATCTGTTTTGTTCAGGGATTCGAGCGTGCCGAGAAATTTCGAACTGACAATGCCTAATAGTATGGCCTCCCCTGCAAAAATTGGTAAGACAAGTTTGAATGTTTTGAGGTTATGTTTAGTGCGTCAACTGTCATTTTTTCAGTTCAACCTCCGGATAAAGTGCAATACCAGATAAAATTTCAGTCATCGGACAAGTCCATGACTCGTCTGCTACTCATGTCCTATTTTCCGTCCGGATTTTGGTCTCGGTTGATTTCACGAATCCTAGCCGATGATACCATCATCGATATTATCAGGTCTTTTTTTATTTTGCCCAAGGAAGTCGCTCAAGATGTGCATTTGGCTAAAGTTCTAGATCTTAAGGCCGAGTGGGTTCTGTGGCAGACCGGCCTCCAACTCAAATATGGTGACATAACTCTGTTTAGGATGAAAGAAGTGCTGCATAATTCAGCGGCTTTTTATAGGCAGTTGAAGTAAGTATTTCAATATGATGTATTAATTTTCTTTTCTTTTAATTATGTTTGTTTATTTTTCAACTACGGGTAAAAGAGAGAATTGTTTGGGAAATAAAGAAAATGGGTCTTTTACCCCGCTGATTCGTCCCTCTCCGTATGGCCGACGTTATGCGCCGTTGGTACGGGGGAGAGTTCGGAGGAATAGGGGTTCCCTTAACAGTGGTGGCGCTAGACAGAGAAAATATGCCTTTGGGCTAGGACAACGAAGGCAAAGGAATTATCCATGTCCGCGGAACTTGATTACGCGATCGGGACTTCGGTAGCTTTTGAATATGGCGGTCGGCATTATTTCAGGGGATGATTTACAACAATATGGAGAAGCCATTGCCGAAAGGTCAAGGAAAAACAAAGAATGGGTTAGATATTTGCTAATTTATACTTTGGAATATAGCAGGGTTGCTACATAGAGGGGGTTGCGAAATAAAGTCGACTTTGGATGAGGCGGTAGCTGAAGAAAGGGGGAAAATGTGGTTGCAAACAAGTTTGGCATCAGTGATATAGTGACAGCGAGGGAGTTTCACCAAACAGAAACAAAACAGAAACAATAAACTTGTTTCAGTTTCGAAAACTCAAAACTCGAATTCCATCAAACGGAGAATAAATTGCTACATTCTTCGACTGTTCATTGCTTTTTTTTCGCCCATGTTTTACAAAGGAAATAATAAATCTCATTCTTGTTTGAAATAAACAACAAATCAATAAAAATAGCCTGCCCAGTGACGATACTCGGCCTGCCGACGGGACATTTTATTGTTGAAAAAAACAGTCGTCCGCGACACAAAATCTCAAAAATGTTTCTTATTTTGATAACTTTAGTTTTTATTTAGTCGCGGTTTTGTCCCTTTCGTGGAAATCCGCTATTACTGACTTTGAATCAGTGACGTCATGATATGAACCGGCCGTTGAAGAGAGAACAACCAAAAAGAAGATGGAGGGATTCACGTCTTGGTATTGACGTCACTCATACCGTGTTGCATATCTCCGTTGTGGAAATTTTGAGATTTGATTTGTTACATGATGTTGTGAGACAATAGCCAACACGTCGTGTGATCCGCAGGGGTACAGTTTTTTTAATGAATTTTTCAGGTCGTATATTCTGACAAATCTCAAACCCTGATTGACAATTTTATGCCATTTCATAACGATACTTTTAGTAGATTTCTGATTGTAAATACCCGTATTACAATTCAAGGTTTCGAATAAAACAGGAAGGGCTGTGGTGCGATGTCGATCTCCAAAACACGTCGATATTAGAAATACAGTTTCCTGTGGAATCTTTGGTTGTGAAACCAGTGACAACTGAAAACTGTGATATGCGGGATTACAAAGTTAAAGATGTGTTAGTAATAGAACCTTCTCAGGAATGTACGGCCCAACTTCTAGCTCTCACTGTCGACCACATCGACATTCTTCTCGAGGATTGGTAAGAGATTGAACTTCTCGTAACAATAGAGTGTTAGTTCTGCATTAAAAAAATTTGAATAGGTACCCAACTCTTGGTACAAGATTCGTCCACACTTCAGAAGGAAAGTTTCTCATTACCCGTCTCATCCCTTGTCCCCAGTGTCTCAACTATTCTCATGATAGTGAGTTGAGCGTGAATGATTTTCCGCCTACGAATACACAGTTATTGGATGTCATGAACCAGGAACAGGAACAAGCAGCAGGTTGGTGGTAATGTCAATGTTTTTCAACATTCTATTTCTATTTTTATTGTTTCGATGTTCTCAGTTGATCGGCAGTGTTTTTTTTACCAATTTTGGTTAATTTTGTTTGTTGATTTCGTTAGCGTTCCTTGATTCTGAGACTACATCTATCGTTTGTTAAGAACTATTTGAAAAGTCTATTACAGCGGGGGTCAGGCGCGTGCCTGAGGGGGGTAATGGGGTAATTACCCCCTCATGACCATGACTACATAGAGAAACAATTCGAACATTTCTTATTTTCAAACCCAAAAAATGATTAATATACCCCTAACTCGATCAGTCTATAAGCAAACCACTCTATCATTTTCCATAACATGAAACAAGCTCATCACACACTATTCTCACTTCAAAACAATAGGTACGTAAGCACGTGCACCTGATAAGTTTTGAGGTTAGACTGCTAAATGACGACGCGGCGGTGGAGCGCATAGGCGTTGAGGGGTGATGGAGGGAGGGCGTAGGGTGCCGGATTATTAGACGTATCGTTCTATTAAAGAGCCGTATTACTGAGATTCTACTGTATCTCTTCAAAATTTGATCAACATATACTAAAAACTTTCAACAAAAGATTGTTCAATGCTATTATTATTGATTTTTATGGAATTTTTGAAGTGAGCAAAATATGATTTTTCTGAAATGAATACGGGAAAAGATTTCTCAGAATTTTGAAGAAATGTATGACATCATGTCGTGTAGGTTATCAGGATTTATACAGAACGAGGAAATCTCAAGAGTCCAACACTTCCGAATGCGATAGTGGAGTAGGGCCTGACTCTACCGGATCCAGCAGAATTCCTTCTGTGGAAGGCCACCCTGGAATACAAAGCGAAGAAGAAAAGCCCATTTACTATTCTTGGATGGTAGAGGAGTGTATACTGGAGGCATACAATTGTAAAAAAGTTGTATGTCCGACTCACGGGGATTGTCTTTTATCCCGAATAGCGCCCGACACGGTGAGTAATTGAGAGGAAGGATTTTGCTTTCTGAAAAATTCCAGACCAAGTTTCGTCAACCGCAGTTGAAACATTTTGTGATTTGTGAATGAAAGACGATGTTTTTAGATTTTCATGGACTTAGGGGAGCGTTATATAATTCGGTCCGAAAATATAAAGAAAGGACGTCTCTTGGGACGCGGGGCCTTTGGATTCGTCTTCAAAGGCACTTGCAAAATTCGCGGCTCAAATACAACAATCGACGTCGCCATGAAGATGTTGCAACCCGTTCAACCTGGTCCAAATGCCCGTCAGTCGGCAGTGATAGCATTCAAGGTAAATGTATCGATGAAAACCAGAAAAAGTCTGCTCACCTTTTTTTGTAATAGGCTGCTCAAGGAAAGTGGGATAGAGACCCTTTGCAATATGCGTGCAAAGCGTATTGTACAGCAAGGCAAGAGTTGAATATTTTACTGGCACTAAAACATCCCAACATAGTTCCTTTTGTCGGGGTCTGCACCACTCCGCTAGCGTTGGTGCTGGATTTGGCCCCTCAAGGCGCCCTCGACTTGGTTTTGAGGCACTACAGGAGGTCTGGTGCTAAAGTCGGACCGTATACCCTCCAGGCGATCATATTACAGGTGAGATATGCATTGCGTGGCGCATCCTCGAGATGTCATTGCCAAATGATAGTGATGATTAACCTTGTATATGTATATGGAAGGACACTGTCCCTCCATATACAATTTCAAATGTTGAGATTGAATTGTATCCGATATTGCTATAATTTCAAGGTTGCCAAAGCGATTGAATATCTACATCGACAACACATAATCTACAGGGATCTGAAGTCAGAGAATGTTCTCGTGTGGGAAATGCCTCCACCTTTCGTAGATCATCCTGAGCATCCTGTTCATATCAAAGTTGCGGATTATGGTAAATATATCAAAATATAACTGGTCATATTGTGACTCTTCTGTAATCTGTTGACATTCAGGTATAAGTCGTTTGACTCTGCCATCTGGCACCAAAGGATTTGGAGGAACAGAAGGATTCATGGCTCCTGAAATCATGAGGTATAACGGAGAAGAAGAGTATACGGAAAAAGTGGACTGTTTCTCCTTTGGGATGTTCATTTATGAATTATTGACGCTGCATCAACCGTTTGAAGGTCATGAATCGGTGAAAGAATGTATCCTGGAGGGTGGAAGGCCTCCTCTCACGTACAGAGTAAGTGCGCTTACATTTCATTTAAGAGCACATGTTGAGACAGAACTAAAAAAAAAAAAAAAAGGAATTTATACTGTTTATTGCTGAGATCCACTTTATGCTTTGTAACTTGTACTGCTGCAATCAAAATTGCAGTTTCGTTTTACACTTGACAACCGAATGATTAAAGAATATTACTGGAGTTTCGATCACCAAGTGTTCATCTTCAAGAGGAAGATCAAACTGTGATCGCACCATGAATACATTATTATTTTTAGGAAACTCTTTATCCGAGCTACTTCTTGGATTTGATGGTCCTGTGCTGGTCTCAACAACCCAAAGACAGGCCTTCCGCAAGCCAAATCGTTTCTATAGCGAGTGCTCCAGAATTCACACATTTAAGTGATGTTGTTTCCTTAAAACACCAATCGCCAGTAGTGTCATCTACCAGTGCTGCACTTACTCATATAACAGGTATTTAACAAATAATGAGTTTGACGTTGTTGTCGATTTTCGTCGATAGATATAACTAGAATAGTTATACTTGGGATGTCTTTGTTACAGATGATGGTTTGTCCGGTTCTGAAATGTGGTTGATATGCGCGAACTCAAAAATGGATTTGCTTTTAGCCGCGGAACGTGGTTGGCTCCAATATCATACCATGACTTTACCGATAAGAGCGACCACCGCTTGTACGGTCGGAGATTCTATATGGATAGGAGATTATGCCGGAAAGATACATGCCTATTCGTAAGAAACTTCAATTTCTTGTTATTATTCTTCATTTACTAAATTTCTAAAATATCAGTCCTGGAGAAAACAGATCACAAATATCCTTGCTTCGCATTCTGGGTGACTTTGTGACTAGATGTGGCATTAGCCTTGTTTTTCAGCGATCTATTCTATCCCCCTCAAGCAGGATTCATGTAATCAAGAACTTATTTGAATTTGCTGCAACATCTACTAAATATTTCAGGGCGACCGACGGACGAAAAATATTTTTCTACTCCCTAGAAAACGAACCAAACACCCAAGTCGAGGCGTTGCTCTATTTGCCGTCGCTGAAAAGAGTAGCTTGTGCTTTGTCGAACGGACGTCTCTTTTTGGTAAATTCCGAATCGAAACCGCTGACTCCTACCGCTGCCGAGGGGACATTCGTAATGACGGAACTGGGATCAAATTCAGTCATCAATTGTATGTGTGCCGTGTTCAATCGTGAAAACGAGTGAGTTTCGCGTCGGCGCCCAACGTGGGACACAAAAATTTCTAGTTTCAAATTACCTAATTTTTTAGTTCTTGCGAGCTGTGGTGTGGAGAGTCAGCCGGCCAAATCTCCATCTACGTGATAAAGGACCAAGTTGTGGCCGGACACGAAGTCCTCAACCATTACCAGCCCGTCATCGAGAAAGTCGATGTGATGAACATAATATCTGTCGATAGGCACGTTTGGTCGTATGTAAGGCCCGGTTGTATTGTCTACCAGTGGGACGCGGTCGCCAAGAACATCGTCAACAAGCTGGACTGTTCGAAGCTCGTACCATGTTCGGAAAGTTTGAAGTCCATCGCCATCGAGGAGCATTTGAGTCCCACAAACTGTCAGGTAATTAACGTCATTCAAAAATCCAGAATAGAGTAATTCAGTAATAAATTCCAAGCTTTTTGAAAGTTTTTCATACAGACAATTAGGTTTCTGGATTTTTGATATTCAGCGAATGAGATGACTGGAATTATAGTTACATCTATGACTATGTTTCTCAATACCAAAAGTTTTCTAGGTGAATTGATTCATATGACCTGTTGCTCATGTATTAATTGATATCTTTTAATGAAAGGAATCAGTCGGAATCAGTATCTTGATGATACAAATTTCAGGTCACCAGTTTGGTGTCTCTCAACGAAGAACTGTACATCGGCACGACCTGGGGCTGCGTCATAATAGCGGAGAGATTCACTTTACGGCCCATCACCATATTCCGACCCTACGAGGAAGAAGTCAGGGCTATCGTTCCTTTGCCAACGGGAAAAAGCGCGAACAGTAGCCAAGACAGCACTCCTCTCATAGCGACCATCGGAAGGGGATATCGCAATCTCCTATCGAGGTATACAGACGTACCTGTCATAGCTGGTACTCCGCTACCGAGTCCTATGATCGGATCGGCGTCTTCATGTGCCGGAAAACCGAATATGTTCGTTTTGTTGTGGAGGGCGGAGCACTGGGGTGCAGTTTGAAATGTTTCCGAGTTATTTTTTTGTGTTGCTTCATAGTAAGGTAATATGTTTCACCTGATGATTCACAAAGATTGCCGCATACTTGGAGATCATTACTGTCCCGCCACCTGTCCAGGTGGCGGGAATACAAGTACCTGAGGATCCTCAGTCTCTTATTGGAGGTAGAGACCCTTACGAAGACCAGTGACGAGACCTGTGGAGCCGGTAAGTTGAGACCCCAGCGTCAAGTCACAAAACCTAAAGTGTGTCTCTATTCGAGGAGTAAGTCTTGATAAAAAAAGTGCTAGCTGTACTATGAAAACTTTGTTTAAAAAATGGTGAAACTTCACCAATATACAGTTGAAAACTTGAATGAGATGAATGTACAATGAAATATTACTTTGATTAATATTTATTCAGCAAGCGATACTGAAGAATTGATGCTATTTTCAGCTAGAATTTTTTTCGAAAAAATGATGAACAAATCAAAAACAAAAGATCTCCGTTATAACATATTGTAGCATTTAAGTAATTTTGCCTCATTTAGTAAAGTTGAAGATTTTTTTTATATTTATATAAGACATCAGTATTTTAAGGCTGTACATAATTTGAAGAACAAATTGGCATTATTTAAGTAAATAAAATTTGGCCTGAATATTTAGGCGTTTTCCAAAATGTATTTTCTAATAGAATTTTGTTTTGAATTGAACATGATGGCAAAGAAGTATTTTCCAACGAAACTTATTTTCTGATTTGGAAAATTTTACGTAATTAAAATTTACAGATTATATTAACTGAAGATATCTTCCACCTCTTTTATATATTCACTAATTTCTAAATGATTCTCTTTGAAGGTATAACCACTTTAACAAAATACTATAGTAATTCAATCTTTCTACTCTTGAGATATTGTTTTTTTTTTTTAATTTTTACAACTAGTTTTGTAGTATTTGTTTTACTATGTATTATATTTTTAGACTGTTATTAATAGACTGTGATGATAGTTCTTGTCATTTATACTTTATTGTTTTTAAATGTATTTTAAGTCGTGAAACAAATAAAATGTTGGTTGTGTTTTATATTTGTTTTCATTTTCAACTGTACTTGCAAATTTTTTATCCTCCATGGTTTCTATAATCATCGATCTGGACAGCGACGATATTATGTCAAGCGAGGAAAGCCAAGCGGCAAAGGCCCCAAAAAAGAGGAAAAAAGAGCCAGAAACGGCTCAACAAATCAAACAGTTAAAACCCTGTTTTTCCCAGACTAAATGGACCAATAAGCCAAAATCAAATAAAACTACACCCGCCTTATCACAAAAGCCGGGCGTGGCACTGGAAAATCAAATTCAAAGGCCCACCCAGAAAACTGAGTCGGCAAATATAGAGGAAACAGAAGTCCCGCCACCTTACTCAATGGATGTAAGCGACGAAGAACTAGTAACAGACGCCTCGAAAAATGACCGGGCAGAAACACGCAAAAGCGGATAAGCCTCCACCCATAACCATCCGCGCAAAAGAAAAGTAGAAAGCTTTTAACACGATTGCTGCTGCCCAAAACATATCCATATTGCGGGCGGTGAATACAACAGATGGAATTAAAGTCCACCTTGAAAATACAGATGATTATAGGAGAATTACTCGGATCTTCGATCAAGAGAAAATACCCTACCACACCTATACAATGAAAAGCGAAAAACCACTCAGAGTAGTTTTTCGTGGGGTCCCGGAATCCATATAGAGTGTGACGACATCAAGACTGAACTCTAGGACAAAGGATTTGAGATCCTTTCCGTAGCCCGCGTGAGTAAAGCTAACAAGGTACCGATACCGTTCGTGCTTGTTTTAGTTCCAAGGAGCCAAAACAAAATATATGAGATCACCGAAATTCAAAACGTGCGTGTAAGCGCCGAAACACAGAAGCCGAGAAACCGAGCAGGGCAATGTTACAGATGACAAAAGTTCGGTCACACGCAACGCAACTGTAAAGCAGTTCCAGCCTGCGTTAGATGTGCCGGACGGCACATGACCAAGGAATGCAAAATGCCTAAAAACTCGCCCTTGCGATGCTTTAACTGCAAGGAAGAACACCCAGCGAGCTTCCATGGGTGTCCAGAACGCCCTGAAAATAAAAGGGCCTCAGATAGGCCGAACGAAAACAGACAGACCACAAACCCAAGGCCTGTCGGAAGAAACTCAATCAGGAGCGACGTCTCGTATGCGAGGGCCGTCTTATCGTCAGAGAACGCCTGCAGCTCTCCTGAAGGTCTCCCAACGGCCTTAGGGAAGCGGCAGGCGCTTCTAGTGAAGTTTCCGGTACTGCAATCCATGCTTGCCGGAAAATAAAACAAGAATAAGTTCCTAAACGGCCGCAAAACCAAAGAAGTACGCTGCGACTTCTACACACAGGGCAAATAGCCAAAAGAAGACAGAGGACCATACAATCCCCTGCCGCCCCGCCACAGGAACCCAAAAAAAACTCACACAGCCGAAAGAATCTGATTTAAACAAGATAACGAAGGATCCACTTCACAAAAAACAATTCACTGTATTCGTGATGAATGAATATTTGTTATCATTATATTCTTTTGTTAACTCTTGTCTTTTCTGACAGTATTTGGTATTCATTTGTAATATTCGCCACCGTGCGGGTTGGGCAACCTAACGGGCGCGTCCCCTGGTGGCGGATAGAGGAGCGGCCAGGGGACTGGAGGCCCTGTCCGGAAAGCCGATGTGGGCTTATGGATGGGGACGCCGGACTCCTGGTTAGTGGCAGAAATAAGTAGGGTGAGAGGAACTAAAACTCCCCTGAAGCCTTTGCAAAACATGCCACCGTGGACCAGCCTACCCAAGTTAAGGTGTGAGGAATCGTGCCGACAGCTGAATGGCCGCAGGGTTTATGCGGTTACGAACGTTCCCTTTGGGGAACTGAGCGAAACCTCATTGTAATCAGCCTACCTCTTGATGTGGCGTTGATCATTTTAGCTAATATTATAGTTTTCAGTGATTTGTGATAATGACATTCATAAAAATCATATGCTCCTCTAGTTAAAATTTGACTCATTGACATTTTCATTTAATCCAGTCATTAACTTCGGCAATGTCAAGGGTAAAGGTTGGTCCTCAGAGGCACAGAACACCCTAACTACAGTTAGGGTGTTCTCTGTCAGAGGGTTGGTCAAGGCCACAGAATAAATCTCTCTAATGTTTATGATCATGGCACAGATTAAGTACTTAGGGCCGGTTTATCAATATGTAGTTAAATGCTCCTGTTAGCTACCTCGAAGCTAAGCTTAGCTGATAGTCAATGTTGCAGTTACTTTTCAAATCGTTTATCATACCCTGACTGATGCTAATGTTTAATAACTGTTAGTTAACTAAGGTTGGCATAAGCGACTATTTCAGGGGCTTGTTTTTATTGGAGTGATTTGTGATAATGACATTCATAAAAATCATATGCTCCTCTAGTTAAAATTTGACTCATTGACATTTTCATTTAATCCAGTCATTAACTTCGGTAATGTCAAGGGTAAAGGTTGGTCCTCAGAGGCACAGAACACCCTAACTACAGTTAGGGTGTTCTGTGTCAGAGGGTTGGTCAAGGCCACAGAATAAATCTCTCTAATGTTTATGATCATGGCACAGATTAAGTACTTAATCTGTGACCATGGCTTCTCATTCGAACTCATTGGGCCAGGCTCCTCCTGTCCATAATGAACAAAAGCTTCGTCTGGGAGCGCAGTTTTGCTCGAATGCCGCCACCCTTTTTTTTAAACTTTTTTTTTCTGATCGTTTCCTTCTCGGTACGCCTTCGGATATAAACAACACAAATACACATGTTCATATATTTTATAGAACTGACAACCTCGTCGAATCCGTCGACGGATTTATTATTTATTCAAACGTGACTTCATTCAACATTACACTTTATTTTCAACTCAGATCTTTTGGACTCCACTCCGACCACTAAACCATTTTTTGACATGAAATTACATCAATTTGTTCGATACACACTATTGTCTTAAAATTTAATCAATGACGTCACATTGGTTAATTCAAAAACTTGTTTTATGTTTTTATCGGCCTCCACAAAATTACTTTCGTTAAATCGTGTTATGTGTGTAATGTTAACAAAACAGAAAAAAATGATAATACACGGAATGCACCAATAGTTCATTTTATCTGTGGTTGATATGAAACAGTGTAGCCAATTTGATGAGCAGAAGTGTACAGAACTTTTCCGTTTTCTTTCTCCCAAAATGATTAGTATTTGGAAATCGATAATATCTATAGCCTGAAGAGAGTTTTAACACAAAAAATCAATGTTGGCGGCATTGTGGAGAAGTACTCTTTTGGGAATTCATGGAATTTGCCTGTCTTCCTTATGCTGTGTTGTCGTGTTGGAATTGACAGTTGATAGATGAATGATCGGTATCACGCATATACGCATTTTATAGAGGAGCGAGTAGTCTAGTTGTATTATATTGTGAGGTAATTGTTATTAAAAGGAATACGGATTCTCTTCAAAACATTAGGGAATAAATTAGGTATATTCCACTGTTTTGTTAAAACATGAGTGATGGCAATTTAATGGATACGGATCCCTCAGAAGAGAACTTCGAAGAAGATGTCGGCTTTGATAATGATATCGATTTATCCAAGGATTATGCACTTAGGGGACGTGGTCGAGGAGGTTTCCCGTGAGTTTTATTTTGAAATTTCTTTGGATTTTGATTCATTTTATGCCTGGGTTACATTTTAAATCTACAAAAGTGATTTCTTGTGATGATAATAGGACTTATATTTGGTTAATATCCCATAACCTAATTCAGTTTCTTTCATAGGTATATCAGCAAACCGCAAATCCAATCTTCTGTAATCCAAGTTATTTATATTGTTTACATTTGTGTATGAATTTTGTGGATGAAATAAAGATTATGTATTTATATAACATATGTTGAAACTTATCTCTTATTTGGAATAATGATTGAAATGACATTTAATTCATTAAATATAATACATTCATTAATAAAAATTTAGATTGGTAGACTATAGAATTATTTTGATATATGTCCATTCATCATTTTGTAAATGATTATCATTGAGTCACAAAATCTTTTGCAATAGTTTTAAATACTTTTAACTCTACAATGGACATGTTTAGGGAATTAATTATCATTAGTATTAGTCTTATTCAATTTTTGACTGTCATGACAATATTTATATCTGTATTTGTTGAGATGAAACTTATTTTTTTATTATTACAGAAAAGGACCGCCTCCTCGCTGGCCAGGTCCACCACCACGAATGGATCACCCCCGATTCCGAGGCAGAGGTTTCGGTCCTGGAGGCCCTCCACCTCAGTTCGTCAGAGGAAGACCACCGATGTTTGGTAGAGGCGGCCCTCCTAGAAACCCACCTCCAGGCTTCAATGGTCCTCCGAATTTCGGAGGTCCTGGCTGGGGAGGTCCCTCAGGCCCTCCGCCTCTAATGGGTCTTGGTCCCAGAGGTCCTCCTGGTGGTCCCCCGGGTGGCCCTCCGGGAACCCATAGTGGTCCACCCGGAACTCATATACCACCTCCGGGAGGTCTTGTTGGGCCACCTCCCAGTCTTTCTGGACCACCACCTGGGACACTGAGTGGTCCACCTCCAGGAGGCTTGAGTGGGCCTCCACCTGGGAGTTTAAGTGTGCCCCCACCAGGAGGTATGAGCGGGCCTCCACCTGGAGGTTTGAGCGGGCCACCTCCTGGAGGTTCTGGTCCAGAATCAGGTGGACCACCTCCAAGTGTTTCACCTTCAGCAGCTGGTTCGCAATCAGCTGGAGGGTCTAACGGGGCGCAGGGACAAGAAGGGACAAGTGGAGGGTCAGGTTCTGCTCAGGGTGGATCAGGAGGGTCTGCTTCAAGTGGAAGTCCAGCTGTTTCTATGGGATCAGGTAATTATGATGATCAAAAATATATTTATACAGTAGAGCTTTGAGAATTCTAGGAACTGTACATACATATCTTACTTCGATTTATTTGTATCTTTAAATCCAGAAAAATGTATTCATTTCACAATAAAAATTACTACATACATGTCAAAGAGGAAAATAAACAGAACTGGACAAAAATCTGAATAAAAACTGTGAATAGTCATGAAAAAGTCCAGTGAAGTCAAATCGGGTGATTTTGGTGGCCATTCTGTAGAACCTCTCCTTCCAAGCCATCAACCCACAAGTGATTTTTGACTACATATATTCTAGTTAACCAAAAAACCTTGTAGGTCATTCAATTCATCGAATCTATGGAATTCATTTTGATGTTTCAACATTTTCTAGTCAGAGGAAATTAGTTACTATTTATATGGTTTCATTTTAGGGTCTACTTCAAGTTCGGGTCAAACTGCTGGTAGTCAGAGTAATGTTAGCAGCAACGCCGGAAGTCAAGTAACACCAAGCCCTGGAGCTATAACTTTTGCACCTCCAAGTTTACTAGGAGGACCCCCAACCACAAATAGTGGACAGACTCAACCAGCTGGTCAAACTACTTCAACACCTACAGGGGTAAGACACTCAAAACTCTCAAGAAAAATATTTATTGAAATGGTTACTTGCAACAATTTTTAATCGTGCTCTGATGTTTTGTTTGCAGGGCCCAGATTCAAATGTCGAGATATGGGTTGAAACGAAAACGGCCGAAGGCAAGTCTTACTTTTATAATGCTCGTACTAGAGAAACTACCTGGACTAAACCAGATGGACCTAATATAAAAGTAATCTCGCAGGATCAGGTAGAGGCTATGGCCCAAGCGGCCACGGGTCCCATCGTCCAAAATACATCCACGGCTGCTCAAGCTGCACTGGCTCAAGCTAACATATCCAATAAGATGGATGGTGAGTTGAATTATATTTTCCAGCTAATTGAGTACATCACTGAACTATATGTGTATATGTTTGTATATATGTGTGCATTTGTTTGGGTATTTATGTTCATTTGTTTCGATATAATATGTGTGCATTTGTTTGGATATGTGTGCATTTGTTTGGACATATCTGTGCATTTGTTTGGATATGTGTGCATTTGTTTGGATATATGTGTGCATTTGTTTGGATATATGTGTGCATTTGTTTGGATATATGTGCACATATGCTTGTATATGTGTGCATATGTTTGTATTATGTGTGCATTTGTTTGGAAATATGTGTGCATTTGTTTGTATATATGTGTGTATATGTTTGTATATGTGTGTGCATATGTTTGTATATGTGTGTGCATATGTTTGTATATGTGTGTGCATATGTTTGTATATGTTTGTGCATATGTTTGTATATGTGTGTGCATATGTTTGTATATATGTGCATATGCTTGTGAATATGTGTTAATATGTTTTAAATGGGTGTATATGTATGTTTCAGTGCCTATATGTGCGTATGTGCTTGGGTGTGCGTTATAAAGCATATTGATTGATAGATATATCAGACAGTTGAATAAATTTCTACTATTACCATTTTAAAACAGAATCCGAGGACTCCAAACCAGAGCCAGTCAAGCAACCGATTCCGGTTTCCACTCCCCTCACGCAGCATCTGCCGCCGCACGCTCTGTTGGGGCCCCCTCCGGGGCTCGCCCCCTTCTCGCTACCCGGTCAGTTTGGTGCGCCTCCCTTCGGTCTCCCTCCGCCAGGCTTCCAAACTCCCTGGCCTGGCGGCCCGGGACAGCCGGGATGGCCTGGAGCACCTCCTGGTGCGCCTTGGGCGTTGCCTCCGGGCCTTCTCACCGGCATGCCCGGCGCCCTAGCTGCTATAGACGAAGCTGCGATCATGTCCAAAGTCGATCCTGAGATCATCGCAAGGGCTTCGGAATGGACGGAACACAAGGCACCCGATGGACGGTTCTACTACTATAATGCTAAGAAAGGCGAGTCTGTTTGGGAGAAGCCGCAGCCTCTCAAAGATTTGGAAAGTAAGTAAACTTACTTTTATTGAGAGGTCCTACAAGGTTCTCGTATCAGACCACTGGTTTTTCAAGTTGATCATCAATGTAATCTCCGTTCTTGTTGTTATTTCAAAGTTATCCACATTTTTCAGCTGCTAAATTGGCTGCCGCTCAGGGTATATCCACGAAGCCGGTCCTGGAAGTGTCTCAGCCCGCGTTAGTGGATTCAGGTAAGACAAATGCCCAGTTGCAGATGTCGGCTATCAATGGAGAGGCTAGTAAGGAGGAGCAGGAGCGAGAGAACGAGGAGAAAATCAGGAAGCTGCAGGAGGAGATCAAGAAGAAGAAGGAGGAGGAGGAGAAAGCCAAAGAGCTGAGAGCCCAGGACAAGTCGCGGCCTATTTCCAGCACGCCTGTTCCGGGTACACCTTGGTAAGTATAGAGCGTTACTTGTATTGATGTTCCTCATTATTTTATTGAAAGTGGTTCTGCCAGTGTTTGGAGCAAACACAATTAACAATTTTAAGCGTTCTTTTTGATGAATACACTATTTCTAGTGGTGTATGAGACACGTCAGTAATAACTACAATTTGAAGATGAAGGGGGTAGTAAGTACTAAAAAAGGTGAACCTGGTATGGCCGAAACTTCCAACCTATACTTAGTAAACAGCATCCAACATATAGTCCAAGGTATTGAGAATTCCGAACCATGGGTCAATTTGGATAATATTTTATATTTGCCCTTCAGCAGCTTCAGATTGATTACCTTAAGAGATTTGAATGATTTAATTGAGTCATTAAATAATAAATGTAGTATCCATTAAATCTTCAAACAGCTGGTCATGCAATCCTCAATTTAATCAATATATCACTCCAGAATGGTCAATTGCCCGAATTATTAAAAACAAGTACTATTATACCCATACCAAAAGTTACAAACATCATAAAAGCATGTGAATTTAGACCTATCAATACATTACCGCCAATAGAGAAGGTTTCAGAAATAGCAGTATATAATCAATAGGGAATGCTCCTCCTAACGAATATCAAGTAGTTTTCATAAAAGAGCTCTAAAACAACGTATTTTAAACTTATCATTTCAACCTTTTTCTTTGAAAAATTATTTGAATACTTAAAAAAGAGGAACGGAATAATGCATTCAACATTTAAAGGGATTCGTTTCTATTTCACCATTTGGCAACATCGGTTATAGCTAATAAAGGACAATGAATCTGTTACCTGTATGAGACAAACAAAGATGACATATTTCAGAGGATCAAGGTCATATCCAGCCGAAGTTCTTTCCCCTACTTTTGTTTCCATGATAAACATATAGGCTATCATTCAAAAACTGACCTTGACTTTGAAATACTTCACAAGGTCACGGTCAATGTCATATCCTAGGTTGTCGTCAGATAACTAGGAAAAATTCTCAACATCCAGTTCTTTGACTCGTCAAGATCAAGTCCAAAGTCAACTTGGAAAGTTAAGAGTAAAATGCAAACATATTGCGCATTTTCTTTCTCAGAGATCAACTTTAGAATTATTCAAAGTCATACAAAGCCGAAGTTCTCCCACCTACTGTCGTTTCCATGATAGAAATTATGTTTTTATTAAAAAAACTGACCTTGACCTTGAAATAATTCGCAAGGTCGAAGTCAACTTCAAATCCGAGATTATTTTCGGATAACCAGGAAAAATTCCAAACACCTGGTTCTTTGACTCGTGGTCAAGGTCAAGTCCAAAGTCAACTTGGAAAGTTAAGAGTAAAATATAAACATATTGTGCATTTTCTTTCTCAGAGATCAACTTTAGAATTATTCGAAGTCATACAAAGCCGAAGTTTTTCCCCCTACTGTCGTTTCCATGATAGAAATTATGTTTTCATTCAAAAAACTGACCTTGACCTTGAAATAATTCGCAGGGTCGAAGTCAACTTCAAATCCGAGATTATTCTCAGATAACCAGGAAAAATTCCAAACACCTGGTTCTTTGACCCGTGGTCAAGGTCAAGTCCAAAAAAAATGTCATTAGAAAGACACAAAGTACCAAATTTATGAAACGGTTTTTAAAATTAAATGTTCTAACAACCCTTCTGAGAAAAAATTACTAACAAATGACTTGAAAAAAAAAAATTCACTGTGGATACTTTGATCTCCTTTAAAATTTATGAAACAATAATATTGGGAATAGATTCATAACAAATTATTATTATTGCACAAAAATTCTCCCTGTAAAATCATTAATTTTTCATTAATAATCAATTACAGATTTTTTTTTCAAATAAAAATTATTTTTTAATAAAAATCTCATTAAAAAGACTAAGTACCAAACTTATGAAACGGTTTTTGAAATTAAAT